ACAATAGCATTTTCTTCTGGTTCCCAATCTGGTTTTCCATTGAGGCTGGTCAAGTATGTGTTGAATGTAAACTATATGTCAGTGTTGTCTGCTGACAAAAATATTAATAGTAACTAAAAATACATCTCTTGGGGCGTTTAAAGAATGCACTCTTGAGTTTTTACAAAACATTTTTTTAAAAGTTGACAGCTCCTGACATAACATGTTTTTAAAATAGTTAATTTAAAAAATATATATTGTTAAAATCAATTTTATTTCTGCACAATGTCAAATGTCCATTTGTTACGGTTTGAACTCAGTAGCGTTATGTTATAGTACCTCACCAGATTCTGCATAGTATTTTTGACCAAAATGTAATTCAATCCAGTTTTACATAATTTAAGTATATTCCTTGCACCACCATCTGCAACTCCGCATGCCAAAAGAGATGCATCTTTCTTGGACATTTTAATTATGCACATTCATGCTATTACATCAGCTGAGTTGGGGCTGCTGTGAGTTACTCAAGCAGGTGTAGATCCCAATGTGGACCACAGCATCGCTTCAGTCCCATAAGGAAATTTATTTCATTGTGTTCAGCTGCATTCTCAAAATGGAGCGAGAGAGAAAGAGTGAAAGACCACAGGCTTCCACTGACAAGTGTCACTCACAGAAGACACATGCACAACACTTGGGCTACAGCACAGATGACCACATTTTTCAGCAACTTCCATGTGAAGCGATTAAAGAATCCAATGAGACCATGGCACAACAATTAGGTCTGAGGTGAAAGGATACTGATGACAAGAACAGGTATCACAGAGTAAAGAGGAGACTCTATAAACGACATTTCAAATACAAGCACACAAGCAGAAGAGACATGGAAAAGCACCAAAAAATAAAAAATAAAAATAACCCTCTGGCATCACATCTCAAGAATGTCAGCAATGAGCGAGTAGACCACATCCCAACACAAGAGTCAGAATCACATCCAGACCTATAGCGGTATTGGGAGTAAAAATAGGGACTGCTGTGTAATGCCTGAGAAAAGGAGGCCCTTCGTGACATCTAGCAAACATCTTCCATCTACATCGCATGACACAATCTCACAAATGGTTCTGCAAGTGTTCCTTGACTCCAAAAGTTTCTCCAGAAGAAATATAAAAAAGGAGAACATTTTGAGAATAAAACTGGAACGGAACAAAAAACAAAAATTGTTGAGAGAATAAAACGGTGAAAACACGAAGCAACTTGTTTTACAGCACACTTTGGGCTGGGTCAGAGAAGACAGAAACAAACCTGAGCAAGAATGAGCAATATTGCAACGAGAACAGAGAACAGCGGAAACACATGGCTTTTTAACACCCATCCTAGCCAAAATGTGACTACAATCAGGAAGGCCAAAGTTAATTTAAACAAGGGTTAAGGCATAGATAAATAAATACATACAGACATTACTAATAAGAAGACCCGAGGCATATTAGGTTTAGCGTCTATAGGGTTAATATCAACAATGTGGAAAAATAACTAAAACAAACAAAAAAAAAAACAGACAGAGACAATACAGACCAAACAACAACAACAACAGAGTGTGCAAACTGACTCTGTAATGCAGCTAAACAACTGGTCAAGCAGACTAGTCCAGTCCTGCCTATTTACTTCGCTTACGTTCTCCCTCCCTCCGCCTCCACAGGTCTATCTCATGCTCTTTTCCTACGATCACAGAGAACATGTCAGAGCAGCGGTAATAGGCCCATGACAAGGTGACCTGTGCCCCACACAGGATGGGCTAAACTGGGGTGGGGGGTGGGTCCCATGTCCCGTGTCCAGCCCTATGTTCTCTGCAGCCGTTTGTCTATCCCCCCCAACACCCAGGCCTCACTGCTGGCCAGCAAGAGGAGAGGGAGGCAGTAACGGCAAGCTGCCCCTTTCTGCTGGGCCCCTTGCTGGACTCTAGAGAGGGGAAAGAGACAAGGCAGGGAGAGTCTGTCTGTCTCTCTTTCTCTCTCTCCCTCACACACACACCCCAAAGGTCCTGTTTACGGCTACCCTGAATTTAATGAATGCTCATTTTCATAACATACAGAGATTGGTGAACACTGAAGGCGAGGTGGACAGAAATGGACAGACAGACATTTTAACATGTGGCAGGTGTGTGAAACACATTTAGTCCACAAGTCAAGTTACATAACTTTCTATTCAACACTGTCTCTCTCTTTCAGGAAATACTTTTATTAAAAACAAACTGTGACACTGACGTAGTACAAATTTTTTTTTTAAAAACTTTAGAGGGACATTTTCTGCTTTGAACACTCTGTACATTAGTATTTTCAGCATAACCTTGACCTAATATTGTGTGTGCGATTTCTGAGTAGGAACCGCCAAATGAGGGAGGTCATCAAAGACATATGTGAGACTGGAAGATGTCATTATTTTTGCAAAAACCCTACATGAAGGAGGGTCTTCACAAAACAATAGCTGCCTTCTTTTTTGCAAGGTCACACAATGAAGGAAGCAACCAGTCACAGTTATGACAAAAATGTGTGTGAGCCACTAAATGTATGAACTGAAACTACACATAAGAATGCAACACGAAAGATAAAGCCAAACAAACATCCGCCCCCTACTGCCTGGATCCAGTAAAACTTTTAAGTCTCTCCGAGGAAGCTTATTCCAATTTGTGTAATTGGTTATTCGGAGTAAAAAACAACAACAAAGCTACCTTGATTGTAGGTGCAGGTGGGGCTTTGGGTCCAGCATCCCGAGTGTGCAGACACTGCTTTCAAAAATACATGACATCCACTTTAAATGGGATGTCATGGCATGTCCTTCTCAGAGGCCTAGAGGTATGACTGTTTGCCCTGGGACTGGGAAATCGGGGTTCAAATCCACAGCTGGGTCATATCAAAGACTTTAAAAATGGGACCCTATGCCTCCTAGCTTGACACTAAGGCCTCTTTTAGAAAACAATGCCACCAATTTGCTGCAACACTGTAGCGGCATCATGGAGCCTTAGGTAATTTATAAGTGGTCAGACCGCGGCTGTAATGTGGTGCTAAAATGTGTCTGTCCCCATGCAGTTTCTGGTGATCTGACCTCCTGCTCTAACGGAGAGATGCTCTTGGAGCTCTGGATCAGTCCAGTTTATCATCTCAGCTTATTCTGTTAACAAAAGTGAAACTTAGGGCCCATTTTTACTTTCATTTTTAATAGTTTAGGCTGGAGCGTGGCAGTAACTTCCAAGTGATCATGGCATCTCCCTCTGTTGCACCAAGGAGTAATATGCATTCACAAGTCTGGCATTGCGGTAATAATGCTACCAAGCGCGGCAGCATGCCACCACAGCGCGTTCATAAGACACACTGTGGAGGTAGTATTACACTGATTTGCCAGCATTGTGTCTTCTAAAAAGGGCTTCAGTTTTAAGCGGTTGGATTAGGGGGTTAAACCACCAAATAGTTCCTGAGCATAGCCACTAATGCAGCTCCCCACTCCACACAGGGACTGGTCAAATGCAGAGATGTAATTTCACCAGTGTGTGATGATCAATCAATCAATCAATCAATCAATCAAAACTTTATTAATCCCAGAGGGAAATTAGAGTTTCAGTACACACAATTCAGAGATCAGACATACACGGGCAAGACACATGACAAGAATTGGTGACTAATGGAACTTTATTTTGTGGATGCAATCAATCACAACTCTTACAAAGGTGTGTGTACCGTATTTTCCGGACTATAAGTCACACTTTTTTCATAGTCTGGCTGATCCTGCGACATATACCAAATTATGTATTCCGCGCTGCTGCGGACTGGCTCCGGACCACGAATAAGCTCCTCTGCCCCGCCATCACCTGCTGGAGACAGTGGCGTGCTGCTGCGCCTGCGCTCTTTATTCTGTTATTGTTACCGGTACTTGTCTTGCAATGTGAAATGCTTGGTCACAGATTTTGTAAGAAAAATAATAAAATTTCCCCCCAAAATACGACTTATAGTCCAGTGCGGCGAATGCTTTTTTCTTCATTATACATTTTATGGCTGGTGCAACTTATACTCCGGAAAATACGGTAAGTCTTTTGAGCTATAACATCACCAACCTTCAAAGGATGGACTCAAAAAGACAGAAACCTGTTAACTGAACCCCAAATCCCTGTGGCCTTTAAAAGTTGAAATTCTGATAAAAAGTTTTGCAAATGCATCATTAAATATTCAAAATACATTCTGAGGCAGGAAATACATTTTTCCTGAATCATTTATTCAGCTGGTTTATGAATGAGTCAATACTGTTGCGAGAAAATGTTTGAAGTTCATTCACGAAACTAATAAAAATATGATTTTGGGATCACCAAATGTGCTTTTAATTTCAGGCTACTAAGGTAAAATTCATAATAATTCTGATTTATTTACTGTGGTGAACTGTGGCAAAGTTCTTTGTGCAAATTATATAATTGCAGACAAGTTGATGGTATATAAAACATATTAACAGAAATGTAGGATGTGTTTGTGACGTGACAAAAAGCCCTAACCTGCTCGTTATACTATAATCTAATGTTTGTACATGGATAGAGGATCTCCAAAAAAACATGATCTCATGTATTTAAACAAATAAGTACACACATGTTAGGTTATTTAAGTTACTTAAAATTCATAAAAATAATTGTGTTAAATGGAAAAACTTAAAATTAGCTTAAACTGATTTAATATATTTAACATATTTCAATTCACATTGATGGTTGCATTATACAACAATCAAGCCGTAGACCAAGCAAGTTTTGGGAATGTCACATCATCAATTCACCCTGACACTTGTTTACTTGTCTGACATTCATGCTCACACTGCATGAGTGACTTAATTTACATAGACCAAAGAAATGGTCAAAGGTCATCAGACTGCAAAAACCCCAGAACAATTTATACCAATTATCAAAATGACTTTAAGTTACATTATTAGTAACGTGATATCACAGAGTTCCAACCTAAAGGTCAATTTAATCATGTATGAAAGAAAAAATAGCTTACCTGGAGATTTAGCATGTCCTTGCACAATATGTAAGACTCAAAGGCTTTCTTGAGTTTTCCCAGGTTGTTAATCCTGTTCAATAGAGAAGCAAAAATGGTATGTCGCAAGTGTGCCTTTACCCTAGGACCTGACCTGCAGTTGCTCTGTTTATGTAACACTGAACTATTTTCAACAGCAACACACACTCAGAAGTAATCATGCAGCAAGTACATAGGTAAACAAGCTGATAAAACATCAGAGATCATCTGTGTCTGATATGCTCATCTTTGGCTCTTAAGCAACAAAAATCCCAATATTTCAAATCACGACTTCAGCATTCCTCCAGTGGCTGCGAGTTTCATACCTCAGCTCAACTTTTCCCCATGAAGACGGAGTCCGAGTAGCTTTTAATCCTCCTTTAGTAGTCAATCGTCGTCGTCCTCATGCTCGTGCAAAGTGTGTCCTCGTCAAGTCGACCAAGTGTGAATTAGCTTCAAAGACTCACAGCCGCGCTACGCTAAACTCAGAAATAAACGCTAGGAGACTTGCTAAAAAACACCAAACTCATACGCCCTTTCAGACGCTGATACACACATACACACACACACAGCATCGGTCGTAGTAGCTAGCATTAGCGTGGCTTAGCTGGCTGCTTTAACTCTAAACGCGGCAGAGAGTTGTAACAAATGAACAGTTCTGTGGCCGCGAGGCACGAACCTACAAAAGGAAAACGCAAACTAAGCACCTCTAACGACCAAATACTCAAGCTAACATTCGAAAAACTCAAACGCACCTACAGTAGTACGACGACAAATAAGCTACGCTTCCTTCTTCGGGACCCAAATAGATGGCCATTACTTTTTGTTATGTACCGCCCCCTTCCTTGGATCTCTACGGGGAAAAAGGGATTTCCCCCTCAACCCCTACGATAGCCAATCAGAACTAGGCTTGGCGCATGTCCTGCATTCTGATTGGATGAATTTTTTGCTTGCCTCTATTCTGCTTGGTCTGTTCCGGTGCTCGTAACTCACAGTACCACCCATTCAAACAGGGGTGTGTCGTGACGTCAGAGGTAACGAAGAGGTAAACAACTTTGACCGCGTGAGGTTTAAAGCAACCTCGTTTTGCCACTGTCGATGTAGGGCTTGTGAGCGAGGCTTAACGTGTACTCACATCACATTCGGTGTCTCAGTCGGTGGGAACCTGCTTCGTGGCGCCCTGGTTTCCACCTGCACCAGCCTGAAATGTCTTTGTTCGCATCTGCAAGCGCAGCTCACAGTGTAAAAAACTGAACCAGCTACCGTCGACATCACACAGCTGAAACTTTACAATCTACACTGCAGAGGTTTAAATCTAAAAAAATATGCATTTTGCTTCACGTTTTCTTTGACGCTATTCAGATGTGTGCAGCGTGGCGTGCGTATTTCAGGGGTGTGTCTGCTCTGCGGTACGGTGGTAGGTAGGAAAAAGGCGATGCCGTTGCATGTACACAGCATGAGAAGTGACCGATAATCTTCAAAGAGACTTTTATTCTAATCCCACATCCTATTGGTAGGACACATCCAAGGTAGATTAAATTATCTGTCCATCAACCTATTAACTTGTGAATTTTGACTATTGATTGTTATGCGCACAGGATTTCTGATATGGTTAAAGTGGTGGTGGTGGTGGTGGTGGTGGTGTGTGTGTGTGTGTGTGTGTGCGCGCGCGCGCGCGGGGGGTGGGGTGGGGGGGTGCATAGACAGTTTAATGATGCAAAACATAAAACAACAAATTTATGCTCATTAGAAAAGTATTTTCGTGTTTTATGATTTTTTTCTAAGGTAAATTCTCATTTTACTCTATCAAGTGATATAAAACTGAATACAAAGTCTATTTTTCTCTGAGTTAGCTGTGTTGATCTCTTTCAGTATCACCAAACCTGTTCTAGTGACATAACAGGTAAGAAATGTGCCTTAACAGTCCTAACTGGCTGTAAGTAGAACACACAAGAATGAACTAGAAGATCATTTGCTAATTGGCATTAGTCATATTGACCTAAATTAAACACTAAACTCAGTTGAGGAAACAGTGTGGTTGTTGGCTGAACAATAGATTATTTTAGTAAGGGAATTAAGTATGTACCAATATCTTTAAGCATCATAATAATGTTTATTTGACTACTGATTTACTAAAATATCCTCGTTGATGTATTTTTTCTTTTTGGTGTAAGGAGGATTTTTGTTCTTGCACAGGTTATTTCTTTGGTATCATTTACAGCAGAGGGGGGACAAGAAGACCCAACTTGTTGTCTTTATAAAGAACAGTGTTGAGCAGACTGTTGTCTTGGGAAATGAGACATTGCAGCTGCAGAAATGTCTGACTTCAGAGAGTGACATCCTACTTAAAGCCAATCAGTAGACACAAAGACATCAGCTTTAACAGAAACCTGTATCAGATGAAACTGTATCTTTACCTACAATACATGTGCTCTTCTTACCATTATCAGAGTCACATAAACGTGCGTCTCAGATTAATTTACAATTACCACTTCCAAGAACATGTGCGTTTTTTAACTTATAAAGCATACTGTTTATGCACAGGATGAACATCCAAACTCCACACTGAAAGCAGCAATTCAAACTTGTGATTTTCATGCTGCAAGGAGCAGTCACTGCGCCCTGCAGTAGCAGTGAGGCCTGTTCCTTTACAAAATCTGAAACATTTAAATCGTCCTTCTGAATTGCATAGTAAAATGTCAGCTTGTACTATAGGGCTAGATTCTGTGTCAAATTTCTATGTGGGGCTCATATTGTTGGGTAAGTCTCACTTGAAGAAAATTTCTACTCTTAGTAGCATGTTTTTTAAAAGTGTGGTTTACTCATTTATTCAATATATTTGCAGTATTATCTAGTGTAAATCAATGCCTTATGAGTCATTAAAAGAAAAGGCTATGATTTTCCTGTTCTGAGCTGCAGAGGTTTGCTGGTGCAGAGGTGGGCTGAAAACAGCAGGATTACTCATTATCATTAATATTATGCACACACCTAGCTTCTGACTGGACAACAGAACGTGTTCAGCCATGTTGCAAAGTTGCTATCACCAAGACACTCTCTTGCTTTCTCTCCTCACTGTAAAGAAAAACATAAAAAAAAGACTTCCTGTGAGCCAAGGAGAGGCCATGAATGCAAATTCATGTGTGTGACATAGATATGTGAGGATTTTCAAAACCTAGCATTTCACCGTTTATTTTCTATCAGGAGTTGATGCAGGAGGTAGGAGTGGAAGGCTGTTTTTATGTTCAGCCTGCATGAAAAACTCAAAGTGACCAATTACAATCAGAAATAGTAATTAAAAAATATTTTTGTCAACTGCACCTTTAAAGTAGGCAATGATGTACTGGGAAAAAACTAGATTTATTAGTGTATGAGATTTTTTTAATACTAATAACATTTAACTATGATACTTTTTTCCAGCCACTATTTTTCCACTCACCATTTTTTGATTCACCCGTCTTTTGATCAGTTTGCATTCTTTGATTTTGTCAAACAGAATCTAATATATAGAATGGCAAATGTCTGCTTTTAAATGAGAGTGTAGGCTGAGGCAGAAGGGCCAGATCCACCCCACCACTAATTAGGCTTTGCTTCCCCATTTTACTATATATAATCATGCATCCTTGTGTGTGGTATTAAGGCTGGAGGAAGTGGGCTAAGAATGTGAAGACCAAATGCATGTTTGAAAAAGTCATTCTAGCACGCCAACGGTCCCAGATTAAAAGGAGAGCACAGCAGAGAGGAGGGAGCCAGTCCTAAACAACCATGCAGTAATCGCCAAAAAGTAAGACCATTGCAGAAGTAAGAAAGGGTTTAGTACTCTATGAGTCAAACAAAACATGAAAAGCTAGGGTGGTTTACAAGACCAGAAACAACTCAAGATGAGGACGTTTTGTTATTTATCACTGCCCATTTAAAAATTTCTGATCACTGTTTAGTTTGTGAGATCTATGATGAAACGTTCAGAACCAAAACCTCAGTTATGCTTTAAAAGCTCAGTACTCAACAGAATACATCTACAATCATCAACAAAGCAAATGTGCACCATCTTAGTTAACTAAAGCATAATCCGCACTTTGTTCTGCCCTCTGTGTCCCCTTCTAGCTCTGCTTAGCCTCCAAAATGGCAAGAATTTTTACAACAAACATTCCCTCACTATTCTAGTCCATTCCACATTAGACAGTTATACATTTTGTACCCACTGTTTGGCCAAAGAGTACAGACCACTCAACAATTAGGCTCGCACCATAAACCCCAAGGACACATGTGCAAAGTTCACTGTCAGCTACAGCCTTGTTTACGCCAGCTTTGCATTCTATCTGCACCTCAGAACTAGCAAAGACTTTGCTTGCCAGCACCTTTGGCATGTGTCATCATATTTTTTATGTTGAATCATGTGCAGTAATAAAGTGTGTGGGTGTTAGGTTCATGTTCATGAAGAGTTGATTCTTGTCCTGTGGCTTGGCTCATTTCCAAGTCTGGCACCAGTACTGGATCAAGCCATTCTGCTTGCGGGGATTTATTTGGCTCCAGAGCATGCATGTCAGCCATGTATCCTGGCTGAGCTGGTGTGTGTCCTCAGATGCTCCGGCTCTTCACAGTAAGCTGGCCTGCTGTCTGGAAACAGGGAGAGTGGAAATCATAAATCAGAAACACTTGACCCACTAAAGCTATGGGAGTGATTATTTGTGGTGCAGAGTCGTAAATATCTGGTGCACTAACAGGGTTTATACCGGAATATGATCTAAAGTGCAGCCAGGATTATCTTTGTGCTACTCTGTAATGGAGAACAGTAGTACAGGGTGCATAATCATCAACTGAAAACATTAAGTATAATCCATTTTATTTTGGAATATTTACTTTTATAGCCAGAGATGAAGAAATGAAACCTTCGAGACAGACATGAAAGTGATGCTTGCAGCAAAGAGTCAAGAAGTAAATACACACGTCTTGTACAAAATACTGTTGATGGGTTATTAAGCCAAATGGGAAGGTAATAAAACATGCTGGATGGCTGCTGGTTGTGTTACAGGTATATACTTTACTCTCAAACAACAACAAAAAAAAAGATTCAATTCAATTCAGTTTATTTATATAGCGCCAAATCACAACAAGTGTCGTCTTAAGCCACCTCACATAGTAAACATTCCAATACAATTCAGTCCATTTAGCCAATCAGTGAAAAGTTGTCTACATAAGGAACCCAGTAGATTGCCTTGAGTCACTGACAGGCGTCCGTGTTGTTACAGCAATCCTCATACTAAGCAAGCATTGCAATTAGGGATGTAAAAAAATATTGATTTGGCAATGTATCATGATATTTTTTCCTGCAATATTATAGCGAGATTCAAAAGCCATGTATCGAATATTTGGAAAAATTTACATGCAAACATTTGTGTATTTTCTTTTGTTTTGGTACAAAACAAACTCCGACCACTAGTTGGCAGCTGTGTGCAGTGGGTTTTGATTCCACCACTGAAATGTAAATCCCTTTATTACGGTTCAAATACCTCATGTTAACCATGTTACGTATCAGTTTAGACTGTTTATTGAATTTTCCTACAATAAATTCAGTCTTTAAAAAAATCGCTAATATCATCTGGCTGAATGTATAGCAATATATCATGATATATTGTATCGTCTCCCCTCCATCGTGATTAGAAACGTACTGCCAAAATTTCACAAAATCACATCACAATAGCGACAGTGGGTTCTCCGAAGAATCAAAGGACAAATGCAAATCAATGAGGCCAAAAGAGTCACCTTTCAACCCATCACGCCCTGAATCGTACATATGTTGCACTTCAATTTAAATGAAAAGTAATGAGGTGTGTTTCGACCATACCTGTCACGTACTTTGATGAAATGAAAAAAAAAACTGTTTTCACACAGGCTCTGAGAATCATCACAAGATCTGCATGCTTTTAGAGCACTCAGTGTTACAAGAGTAAGGCCTTTAGGTGCAATTACTCACATTCCTGAAGGCCTCTTTGGCTTTAGATGGCAAATCCATTGGTCCACTTTGGTTATCTTCCATTGTATTACAATGTGAATTCATGTCAGGCCTATGAAAGTCAGGAAATCCTGCCTCAGGGACTGCCCCCCTGTTCCACTTTGGTCTGTCATCATTTTGGTGCCTCGGGCAACTGGGCAAGACTCACATAAAGTCAGTTCCCCCAAGCATTCTGCAAATTGAACTGAGTGTTTAATGATGTGATTGTTGACACCTTGATTTCGCAAAACTTGTCTTGCTAAGACAGGGAACACAATGTGCTTTAGAGAACGTTATTGTTAAAAACAGAGAACTGGGTGAAGCCTGATTCTGTTGTCAGTGAATATCGGCGCAACACTTTCCGAAATCTCTGCAAACACTCTGCTCACATAAAAACAGCTACATGTCTGGACAAAAGCCCTAAAGCAACGGGATGAGGTGCAGGGAGATGATGGTTTCAGGAAATGACAAGGTCGAGGGGGAAACAAGCTGATCAATATGGTGGAAGTAGAAAGACTCAGCATTTCTAAGTCCCTTTAGATCAATAGTACTGGGTGATGTAAACGTGCAGGTCCAGTATGACTCGAAACAATCTCAGAATTCTTTTCACGTGCTGAAATGAGAGTAACAGCATGTGCCGGCTGCACCTCCCTGCCTCGCGAGGTTAAAGCAGGTGATGTAAACAAAATAGTTTTGTAAAGGCAGTAAACGACCAACCCATCAGGACATTTACCACCAGAGATGCTCCTGCAGGATCAAAATCATCATGTGAGCCACGACTCAGGCAGACGTAATGTTGGAAAACATTACAGAGGGAAATTTCCAGAAGGTTCAGGACAGTGTTCTTTCAATCATCTGATGGCTCCTATCCTGCCATTACTCTCTGCATCAAAGCGCTTATCATTCCTAAACAAACCTCAAATCATTACATTATCAGTGTTCCAATATGCCCCACAGTCTTTGCACTTTAAGGTTGTGAGGTTTGCTTCAAACGATTTTTTTCTTGTCTTCAAAAGCAACACAATTCTTTTGGAGCATTGTGACAAACAACCAGATTGTTTAAGTTCCTCTCATTCTTTAACATTAGTGGGATTCTTTAGGTGTATACTTGGAAGACCAAAAGGTTTTTTGCTTTAACTCCTCAAAGGACGGCAAAATGGTGTAGAAGCTGTTTCTGAACCCATCCTGTTCAACTTGGTGAAGAATAAACCTAAAAGTTGTTTAATGTGGTGAATTGAGCTGTTACGCAATCAAGTCCCCAAATTAAACATTATTAGGAAGTGTTTTTTATTGTTTATACACACAACCCTTAGATGTCACACTATGGTTCTGTTTTTGTTTAAAAAGTAGATAATTTTTTACAAAATGTGTTGCTAAAACTCTGCCAATGAAAATAACTTTAGTTCCCTCTACTGGGGGAATGAGGTAGAGCACAAGCCCATCATGATTTAAAAAATGAATATAAAATAATTGCTGTACTGCCAGTTTTGCAGAGTGGCTCATATTTTAATCCAGTATTAAGAATAAAAATCAACAGTCACAATTATTTTTGGTTCACCATCAGGTGAAGAGTTTATGACAGTGGCTATAATAGTGTTTTTGACTCACTGAATATGCATTTAGTCAGTATAGGGACATTTACGCAAGTCAGCTTTATTCCTAACTGGGTGCAATATCTATTTCTCTATAACATTTGTACCACAAACGATCTAAGCAGTATTGTTCAAATAAACATTTCCTACCTGTTATCCTTCATTTTTATTTTACCATTTTGATATATTTCTCGTTTGTTTCTGGTTTATATTTTGTTTTTCATGTTTAATTTTTATATTGTTTAATGTTTATAAATCACAAGGATGTTTGGGATAGTATAAACAAAGAAGCTTCGGCTTCAAGCCATTCAAATGAATTTGTATTTAACAAATTCACAACCAATAAAAGTACAATGACTAAACTGTTAAAAGGAAAATCAAAATTCATTAATTCCTTCTCTCAATCACTTGAAATTACCTTTACGGTTTATTTATTTGGCTGATGCATTTATCCAAGCGAATCAAATAGAAAACGGATACAAAACATTTCTGTGCCATCGGTAAAAAATGTAATAGTCCAAGAGGTTTCATACCTCATCACTTAAAACAAGCCAAAGGTTTTGCAAGTCAACAATCAGGCCCAAATTTAATGGATCTCACGTGCTTTTATTTTGAAAATGACGCTTTTATTTTGTCAGATTTAAGCGCGATCCGTCTGTGTTGTTTGTAGCTTGTTAGCGATTAGCGAGACTTATCCTATAGAAAGCTTCTGGTTTGTTGTGCTTATTGCCGTTTTGTCGTTCAGAACAATGTGAAAAAATAACCTCCATCTGTTCGCCAACGCGTGTAGTTGTAAAATATCTTAAAGCCGCAGTTAAACACTAGCTAGCTTCCTTAGTATTGAGTCTGCTAGGTTAGCTGTAGATAGCAAGCAAGCATTGCACCCCGATGTGCAAGTGCTACTTGGCCATATGTCCTGTGTTTATAGTGGTTGTATATTGGTAAATGACTACCAGCTAAAAACACCAACGACAAATTTAATTTTAAGGGTGCGCGTCTTTGGATGGTTAGGTTATTTGTGAAAATGAAAGACGAGATGACGCGATTGGTCCCATGGTGTAATGGTTAGCACTCTGGACTTTGAATCCAGCGATCCGAGTTCAAATCTCGGTGGGACCTCGTCTTTTTGTTCCTCTTCATTTCATTTGAGCATTTGTGTAAGCAGGCATGCTACATTTAAAAGTTGCAAGAAGCATACTCAAACATTTCATAAGCCTTTAAATGACGAAGCATACATATTATTCTGGTTTGCATATATCTGTTTAATTATTTTTCTTACAAGTCAATTACAATTGTTTTATTTTTTTTCAACTCTTCAAAGACTTCAAATATATTACTTCTTTTACATGAAAACCTTTATGAAAAATTGTGATTGTGCTGAAATAATCTAAATACTGCCTCAGTGTATAGAAAATGACATATAACATAAATATAAGGATACAAAAAAAATCTAATATATCTGAAAATCCTTTACACAACACAACTTTGGTTCTAAGTGATTTTTTTTCTATTAAAGCGTTTTGTAATACTTGAATTGCACTCGTTTACAGTCAGGGTATTTGTTTTGTGACATCAAAATGTTACATTTTCTTCACAAAAATGAGGTTTATTCGTAATAAACAATGCAGAGTTTCACCTTTGCTTTTCCAGTTTCTATAAATTCTAATGTAAATAATTTTATTTTAATTGGATGTGAATTTGGTTAGAATGTTTCAGAAAGAGTGTTAGTTTTTCTTGAATATGAAGAAAAAAATACCATCCATGTAGAAAATATGAAGCTGTCTGTGCTGTAAACTGTTTCCATTTTGCTTTAACAAAGAAATTAATAAACCAACTGTTAAAACCCGTGTATATTTAAAGTTATGTATAATTAATAAAGGTGTGATTAACTGAAAAAAATTAACACTTTTTAATTAATTGCTCACCCATAGTGACATGAAAATAGTCTCCTACACCTATCTCCTGCATGAGCTTCTGAGAGAAACAGTGAAACGCAAGGATTTGAAAACCCTGACATATCTATGTCAAACTGTCACTTAACGTTTATGGACTCATCCATTTTGACTCGCAACAGGAAAGGGCTGTTGTTGGTTTAGTGTCCAGGAAACAGCAGAATACAGAAGAAAGCAGAAGAACAGCAGAGGACCCAGCCCACATCGGCCGAGTAGACTGGGTCCTTCGAAGGGTGCAGACCCTGAATTGAGACACAGCTAATGTCTCGGCTATTAGAAGCTAACTGTTAGCATTAGCTACTACACAACATGGCAGAACTCTTCCAGTCTTGTGTTATTTGTGGAGATAAAACATCAATGTTTCAAAGCAAACAGAGTCAGTAGTAGAGCCACATTCGTGTTCTTCAATCTGAGGCAAGATGTCAAATATCAGGAAATAAGACTCCAAAATCTGCCGTCTGAAGCTCAGCTCTGATGTGGCTCACTTCTACTTCCTGAAACAAGAGCATCAGTGCTCTCCACACCGCTTCAGATACCACTGCAAATGTATTGATTAAACAAGTGAACCACATCTTTAAAAATACTGCTGCCAATACATGCAACCCTTATTTATCGGGAGCCAAAAATCATTTTTGTCAATATCATAACACTTTAAACTCAATCACTTGCGTCTTTTTTTTCACTTACGTTTTTTGTCTCAAACTATTGTAAAAACTCAGCTGCATTTGTAACTCATTTCCCCTTTTATCTCTTTTACTGTAAATACTGAAACCATTATGAAGTGGTGAACAGATTTTCCCACATGCATTTTGTGAAGTTAGTTTTACATTTTGTGCAGGATTCAGAAACATACATAATAATAATAATACAAAATCAACAACAACACAGAAACCAAATTAAACTCAGGTTACAATCTCATTTGGCAATGTTAAGTCACACTTTGGCATTTCACACTATTAATCTGTAACTCTTTACTTTTCACACTGACTTCTAAACAATCCATTGTCCCCTTGACCTTTAATAAACAAACAGCCATAAAGTTACATGTAAAGCTGCCACTCACATTAAAACAAACAAAAAGGCTTTAACTGAATATTAAAATTTCATAAAAATTATGTAAAAATCCTGCTACAGCCTCCTGATGCGTTATAATGCATAGTTTCAATTTGTTCTTCATCTTCGTAGCTGTGGTCCCAGCATTACTTTATTGATAAAGTTGACAATTGCCACAGCTGGCTGCTCAGGGTCCATCTCAGCAAACAGGTGGCACACGTTCTCTGAAGTCGTTCCGGTCCGCCGCGCCACAAAACCAAACATCCTGCAAAAGAGAGGAGACACAAGAAGTCAAAAGACTGTTAAGCAAAATATGAATAAAAAAGACATTATTTGTAATTTTTTCCATAAGTTAAAGGTTGAATATGGAACAATTTGTTATAAAGCTGTATTAAAAAATGACATATCCACAGGGTGTTTAGAGGTGTGCAGAATGAAGGTACACTCCATCCATCCATTTTCGGCCATTTATCCGAGGTCGGGTTGTTGGGGCAGCAGCCTAAGCAGGAAGGCCCAAACGTCCCTCTCCCCAGCTACTTGGGGCCAGCTCCTCTGGGGGAATCCTAAGGCACACCCTGGCCAGCCGACAGACAAAGGCCCAATCTCAATACTCACTCTGTGCTCTGTGGACTTCAGCAAAGTGCACTTCGAAAAAGTGTGCAGTAGGCTTCGAGTGAGTAGTACACAAGTGTGCAAATAAATGCAGAATTGAGACAGGGTGCATTGCATCATCGATCACAACCATCGACATACATATATGGACAATGGGTTTCCATAGACTCCAATAATAAGTTTTTGTACTAAAATTGGGAGGTGGCCACCACCGCCATTTTGACCATGTCACAGGTTCCGTCAAGCCCAGACAATTCCATAAAAGGGAAGAGAGGTGGAGCTGAGGGTGGGGCTGTAAGGCTGGGATCAACTGATGACACCCGGTCGAACTAGCTACAAGCTAACCTGAAGCTAACCCAAAGCTAATGTGGAGGTGGGAGCTAAGCTAACGGAGGTATCAACCTAGCTACAACCGGAGTTAACTGTGCACAACACCAGAGCTTCTGAGTCAAAGATACGCGGGGCTGACCGCTGGGTAAAACCGGGTGGAACACAGAGGTCTCCGAGGTCTCTACTGAGGCCTTTCCACGGAGCTAGCTCTGTGGTCACGTGGGTCGGATGCTCATTAATTATTCAGAATTTTAGGCTTTTAATACACTTAAACAGAAGAGTGAGAAAAAATTCACCCCCCTCAGAGTTGTCATGAGTGTAAACTAGATCATTTAAACAAAAAACATGTTTTGGTACCAGGCTGTAAACATGTTTATTTCTGCTGTGAAATTGGTAATTTTAACATGGGAGTCAATGAGGATTTGCTCGCTTCTGACACCAGCCCCCCAGCGGATGAGGGTGGAACTGCAATTTTTGGTACTTCCGGGTTGAGACCAATTTCTGCAGATCCTTTTGGCATTGTGGGGGCTTGATCACAACCAACGCATGCCGGGATTCTGGTTGCTGTGATACTTTTTTCAAAAACCTTTATCAACAACTTTTAAACAAACAGTCAAACAGTTATATGAAATAAATTTACATTTATTGCTGCTTTGTCTAAAAATTTTAGAGCACCAACTAATCGCCCTAAAATTAACTAATTTCATTAGAAAATACATATTTTTAGAAAAGGAACTTGAGCCTTTTCTCCTGGAGCAATGACTTGTGGGTAATACCCTTTCCCGAGGTCCGCATCGCTGCAGACTTGGGTGAAGTGCAGATTAAGGGTGCAATGGGGGCGTGGTCAACTTCTGCACTTGAAAATCGGCACACCCTATGCACTCGCACCCCTGGCCGGGAACACGCATTTGAGGGGTGCAAGGGTGTAAGTGATTGGACTAAAGTCCCTCCAGCATGTCCTGGGTCTTCCTTTAGGTCTTCTCATTTGGATGTCCCTGGAAAACCTCACCAGGGTGGCGTCCAGGAGGCATCCTAACTGGATGCCCGAGACACCTCAACTGGCTCCTCAACTGGACCCAAATAAAAAATGTCACATAACTACAACCTTCACACACTAGATGTCGCTTTGGTGTTCCTGTTCCATATTCCAACCTTTTTGTGCACATTCTGCAGTTTTAATGAAATGTTTGTAGCATGCGTTGGTCAAAATTCCATATTTTGTCTCAACTTTTATCGTACAATGCCAATTTTTATCACTGCACTCATCTATTATGTGGAAAACCACACATAACATGTTCAGGTCCTACATTATCCAAACCTAAAACACCCTCCTTATGGTATTTATTTGTTTATTGCAGCCTTCTACTAATGCCATCTGAAAATGTCAGACCACTGAAGTTAGTAATGAGAAAGAAAATATTGAAAATATTAAATTAGAGTTTTGTATTATCTCCTTTGTAACTAACAGACTCCAGATTATCAGCTGCCATGCAAAGGGCACGTCACACAAACTGACAAACTCACGGTAACACAAGCACTTACTTGCTTGATGTGCTATCAGAATTAGTCCACCTGAAGCATGGACACGCAGAGACAGGGACAAAACGTAGGAAGGCATAAATTACAAAGATGCGGAGGCCATTTAAATAAACTAGGCACTCGTGAGCGATCTGCACCACACCTCTGAGCAAAAAAGGCAGACAAGCAGCTCACAAAGAGAACATATATTTCATAAAAATGTGAATGCAAAGCAAAGATTTGGACAGCAGAAGAAAACGCACATTAATGTTAGATTCACTGGAAATTCTGGCTTATTGACTCACCTCTGATCTTGGGGGTCAAGACTGCTGAAAGTAACACTGTTGATTGGGTAGTGACGCCTAAAAAACAGTCTGTGTTGGAAACAAAAAATAAAAAACATCACAATGATTTGCTGCTCATAATGCATAAGCAGTGTTTGTGAAAACAATTTGAGCCAGACCTTCCAAACTGGCAGATGTGGGAGTGTCTACTGGAGGACATTTTTTAACCAGGACAACTTGGACTTCAGATTTGTATCTATTTAATGGTGGGTTTTGTAGTGACCTCTATTATTTACACATTATACATATTTTTATTGTGACAATATGAAATTATTTGAAAAAAAAAACCTCAATGTGATTTTCTGCTAAATGCTAAAGATTTTCTACCACCCAGTGCTCAGAAAAAATAAACCAACAGAATTGTTCAGAAAACTGATCCATAAGAGGTGATTGTGTTTGCTGTTGTAGCCTACTGTTACTGTTCCTTTAAGAGACGTCAGTTGAAGATTGGAGATGCGGTTAAGCTCAGTTGTTTGTTGGACTTCTCTAATAAGGGCTAAATATCATACTGGCTGCTGTTTTTGTTCTGTACAAATGTACAAATACAATAATAAGAATTTATCCTAAACTTCTTTGCTTTTGTACTACAGCTGCTGAAAGCTTTCAGCAGCCAGATCAATTAAGAAGAAGCACTTCTGCAAGCAGCTGCAGAGACCAGACACATTGTCACTTAGAGCAAATTTTTAACAGTTTGCAGTTTGTGGCTGCAGTAGCAAACACTGTATAAGTACACATCATCCACCTAACAGCGAAATTATTGGTCACTGATGAACATGCTTCAGAGGAAGTACCTTCTTTTACTGTCAGTTAGTGTGATCCCTTGGGAGGACACTTTGAAGTGGACCACCGTTGGCACTGGACGTGGACTCAGGGCCAATGTACATTTAGTTGCCTTGGAAACAGCCTCCGGTCCCGTTAACAACTCTGTTTCTACAGAGTTCAGGTAGAGCACACTGCAGGCTGGATTATTGGGGAGATCCAAGAGTCAGGCATTTGAATTAAATCATGGTATCAAACGTTATAAGAACACGTTTGGCCATATAAAAAATGAATAACACCTGCTCCTTGTTTAAGGAGTTCAGCTGCTGTACTGGTATTTGTTGCACTCTGCATGTCCTGAAGCTCCCCAACCAGATCTGAAACATGATGGATTTGTTATCTAACAATATTGTGAAATTGACAACATTTTAACATATACAATATGCTACTTTTAAAATGTGCCACCAGGAATGCTAAAATTACCATTTTCTGGAATTTGAAGGGCACATGGCAGAGAAATGGGAGTGATTGAATGCTGGTACACCAAGGCAGATAAACTCCCTGGATGAAAAAAACAAAGGTTATAACTTTGACAGATTAAAACTATACCAAACAAACATAAGAGAGATTTACATGTTGTAAATAAAAAGAAAAATTCTCAAGGTTTTCATGACAAAATATCTTGGTTTTGTCAGCCAAAACACTGACCGAAGTAGGACTCATTCTGACAGCCCTTGATCTTCACTCCCCGTGGCCCTGTCTCAATGAGGAAGTGTCTCACCAGCTGTTCCTGAGGATCCCCTGGGAAACAGGAGAGGGGGATGAAAAATGAGGCAGACAGTCGTGCTGTCACACATCTCAGTAATAAATCGAGGATGTCTCTCAGAGTGTCCATCTGTCTGTTCTTCACCAGATGTTAGATTCACTTCATATCTGGATGATGTATTGCTGGGGACCAGAATAAGTGTACTGACACCCATTTGGGATATACGTGGTGCATTAAAAGGTATGTACCAAGACGTTTCATTGTATTTTTCTTTTTATCTTCAGGTTTGAAGTTTGATTCTCTGGAGAGGGATTGGTGTCCTCTGAAATGTGTAGTAATTTAAACAAACTAATCAGAAAGTAACTCGGGACAAAGTACTTAATGTGTACCTGTGTTTCCAGTGGTGTTGGCGTTAGGCGGAGGGGTGGCCACTTTGAGAGCCAAGCCATAAGCTCCTTGGAATGAGTTACTGTCTCTAATAAGAAAAGTTCCTGGCTCCTTGTCCTTCAACACAGCTATGGCTAAGGCAGAGATGACAAATTAGGGTGGATATGCAATGATAAATATGGAATAATAAATACTGATTAACCTTCTTACGTATCTCACCTTGGTCTCTGGTAATTCCTGGCCTGTACCAGTACTTGGAGCTGTCTTGGACAAACTTAGCATTCACCCTGATATCTGCCTCCTCTGCACAGTTGTGCAGTGCAGAGCCCCTCCGTTCTTCGGCTGCACTGATAGAGAAAGTTACATGGTGCATCGGGGAAGGACCTGAGGAGGCCTGGAGCAAAGCGTTGTGTCCATTCAGAGATGCTGCATTAGAGGAAAATCGTTTCTTCTCTGGAAGCGGCGGCTGGATGGTGGGGATCGTTACGGCCGTGTATCCAGTGTATGGTACATGAGGAACGTTTAGTAATGAGTAGTAGGAGGATGCTAAAGGAAAGGTGGGGGTGTGGTATCCATCAGGTACAGGGGATGGAGGTTTGGTGGCGGTATCTCTGTCTGGGGTCAATCTATGTCCTGCTGTGTCAGCAGCAGATGACTGAAGATCTGGAGAGCCAGCTGGAGAACTTGGCAGAGTGGCAGAGGAGCAAGACGTTAGATTGGCAGAAGGTGTCATGTCTTTAGCTCTGGAACAATCAGATGGGACATCGATTGGAAGGGCTGACCCGTTAAGTTGCACTTGAACTGGAGTGATGATGACGGTAGCATAGCTTGAAGGTTTTGGTCGGTAATGTCCACCTGTACTTGATGTGATCTCAGCTGCTTCGAGCTTATCATTAGCACATAGAGAGGACTCGTTTGACAGTTGTGTGGAGTCTGCAGATGTTGGAGATTGTGTTTGTGCCTCTGATGGCACTGGTGTGATAGACTTGCTGCTGCTTGTGTTGAACTCCAGATGTGTAGCAAATCCTCGGCTTTGAATGGCGCTGTCAGCAGTTAGGCTGATGAAAAATCAAAGTCAGAGGAAAATTCGAATATATTTAAAAAATCTGGATACATTTACTTGTACTGCCAACATTAGCATACATATATAAGACAACTTCACCCACCGGTCCTCTGTGTGAGTTGGGCTGTTGCTACCAATGAGAGTGTAGTCATGATCAGAGTCCACTCCAGGGGTGCTTGGCTGACCACGAGAGTCAGATTTACCCTCTGATCGTTGAGATATCTCATCTACAGCATATGTCTTCGTGTTATCCACTTGAACAGGGGAGATAGAAAGGAGTAAAAATAAGAAAACAGCAAACAAGCTCTAAAGAAAAGTTATTGATAAAGCTCACCTTTGTGCTGATCAGTATGTGCCGGGTTCCCTGGTCCCAAAGGCACGTCAGGCAACCCTCCTCTGGCAGGAGATGGACTGCTTGCAAGCATAGGTGAGGCTGATCCAGAGTGATATCCTGAGGCATAACCTCGGCTTTCACGGCCTTCGGATGGGGATGACTGATATGAAGAGCAGAGGCAGGAGTTTCGCGGCTGAGGAGGAGAGTGGTATCCACTGCTTGCCCCATCTCTTACATCTATCAGTGATTGAGGGGTGGGGTAGTTCTGATGAGGTGCAATGGCCAATCTAGGTAGCTCTGGGTTTGGATCCTGATCCAGAGTAGAGTGGCAGAGGTGAAATACCGGCATAGATGGTTTACACTGCCAGAATTCAGCCTCTCTTTTCACGCCCCATGGTTTTTCAGTTTCCCATATTGGAGGCTCTTCTCTCGTTTGTTGTAGCCCAAAACCTTGGGACCAGTGTGGGTTTCCTGATTGGTCTGGGTGTGGTTGGTGAAATATTCTGAATGAGGCTGATTGTTGCTCCCGCCTGCTGGAGCAGTCCTGACAGGAGCAATAAGAGGATGATGTTGGAGGGCTGAGAAATATTTCTCTGTAAGGACTACTGCGTTTTAGCTGCTGGGAGGGGTTAGACCGTGGTCCATGGCTCGAATAGTGAAGGAGGGGACATTCTTCTCCAGTGCAGTGTCTGTTTGAGGCCGGTAGTGTGTGGCTGTGTCTGACGCTGTGTTCAGGAGTTGGATAGGGATAGTATGGCCTTTGGAGACAGGGCAAGGATGGAGGATTAAGCGGACGTTCCCATGGTAACTCAGGTAAAGGTTGGGTGCTATGGCGGTGGCAGATTTCCATGTGAGCTGAATGATGAGTAGGTGAAAAAGACTTTAATGGCAAAGCTGGCAGTGTTTGACTTTTTGGATGCTTTTTAATACTGTTGCAATGTCCAAGACAGTGACTACTGGGAAGACAGAGCTCTCTGTCCCGTTCCCATCCAATATCACTACATTTTGTGGCCACTGGATTGCAACAAGAGTGCTCTCGCCTTAAAACTCCAGGACTTGAAGGGTCTCCATCATCCAAAATAGCTGTTTCTCTATCACTTTCTTTCCCTCTCATCTTTTCCTTTGCTTTGTCTTCAACATCCCCTCTCCTCTGTGGACAGTCATTGTTTTCTCTTTCATGACAGTTTCTGGTTGGAGAGGCTTCCGTCAGATGACCCAAGGGGACTGTAGAATCACTGGACTTGGAGTTGAAGGTAAGAGACCGGGACTTGGAGGCGGACTGAGGTTTCACAGTTGGGCTTGTATTGAGGCATCCATTGGGTGAGGCTGGGGAACCTGGTCCACGACGCTTCCTCACTTGTGCATACAAGCTGCCATCGATAGGGCCTCGTGTATGAGCGATATCTGATGGAAAAGTAAAGAAAGTTTGATTGCATATTTGATCTGATTTTTAAGATTTATTTTCTATTATCACCCCACCGCTGATAAATAACAGGTAAGTCACAATGTTTTATCTGCCAGTGTTTATTTGTTAAAGGCCCAGAGTGTGAATAAATTTGACTCTTTAATGCCACCCAGAATAGGCATTGCCTCTTTGGTAGCCTACACACATCAAAAAGGCAGTTTGTCACTGTGGTGGTTGGGGGCTGCCACAGCACTGACTTTGAGTTCATAAAAAGAAAACACAACAACAACTTTCAACCGTCTGCACATCTTATTAATTATTTCTGCTGTTCTGCTGCTTCCTGCAGTCAGCGTGTCTCTGAGGGAATCGAGCGGCCTAACTGGGCTTTTGTGAAATCTACAAAAAAGTCTGGAAAAGCATCCACAGCTGCAAACAGCAAAGAAAAGGCCATCAGGCGCACAGGCTACCGTCATCCCATACGTGGCAGGAGTCTCAGAGAAACTTAGAAGAATCTTCTCCAAACACAACATCCCAGTAAACTTTAAACCCAACAACACCCTCACACAGAACCTGGTCCATCCAAAAGATAAAACACCCAACCAGAAGCTTAGTGGCGTCGTTTTTGCAGTCCAATGAGGTGAGGACTGTCCAGATCTTTACATCGGGGAAACTAAACAACAATTACACAAGCGCATGGCACAACACAGGAGAGCCACCTCTTCAGGTCAAGGCTCTGCAGTACACCTGCACCTGAAGGACAAGGGACACACCTTTGAAGATGACAAAGTACACATTCTGGACAGAGAAGATAGATGATTTAAGAGAGGGGTAAAAGAAGCTATGTCAAACGTGAAAACCCCACTTTAAATAGGGGTGGAGGGCTTAGATTTCACCTTTCCAGCACCAATAATGCCACTTTGAAGCTCATTCCAAAGCAGTTTCAGTCTAGGCCACACCTTCCTGCATCTAATCAACGCAACAACCCCCCGTCAACAGAGGCCAGCGACTCAACAGGGGATGGAGAGGGGGGGTACCCAGAGTAGTTCCTGCTCGTTAAATAACAACAGACAGCTACAGCTTGTAAGCTTGACTCTCCCATATTCCAGTTAGAATTCTCAGAGGAGAAGCAAAATGTCTTCAAAATATCAAATAAGTCCAGTTGCCTTCATTTGAACCCCTTTGATGCTCCATCTAAACTAATCGATCACATAGCATCATTGTTTACAATGTTGCTAATACCTACTGGAGTCAAGTCATCACCTGTTAACAAAAAAGCTCATGAACCAGAACAACATGGCAGTCGATTTTACAGACATCAACTTACATTTCCATGTGATAGTAGCTGAGAGTAATTCACAAATTACACACAAAATCTTTGAGATCAAAATTAGTGCAAATTTGGCAATGTTTTTTGACATTGTGCAGAGCTGCTTTTTAAAGAACTGATAAACCTGTCTGTAACTCCATCAGTTCTTAACGTAAGAGGATCTTAGTTTAAAACATACTTTCCATGCTGTCTTGGTGGTGGAGATTGAAGTTTTCATAGGAATCCCATCGGACCACAGGGTCTGAGGTGTCGTAGTCTACTTTGATGGAAGCGTCATTTTTGCAGAATTCTCGACCTTAAGAAGCATGAAAATATGATAAATAACAAAATCAGATTCAACGATAAAATACACAAAAGAGTACAGTGACAGACAGATGATGACGCATACCTTTAATTTTCTCTGCTCCGTTCTCAAAGATCAACTCCACTGTGGCATCTGGAGGGAATCTGTCTTCTACAGAGAGACAAGTGTAAAAGCAGGGACTACAATATCCAAAGCACAATCATGCAGAGTGAGACAAACGTCCACTATAAGGTGTAAACTAGAAGAAAAACGTTGTGATTTCCTAAAAGCAAATGGTCCAAATAGAAACAGCTTTAGTAAAACAAAAAGAACATTTCAAATTATTTGAAAGATGCTGTCTTTTGTGATGTTCAGTGCAAGTAAGATTATTTATAAATCATACTGTATGCATACGTCAGCACGCAGCACTTAGAGCAACTGCAGTCAGACTGCTGCCTACTGGGCCATGTGCAAACGTTTCTGTGTCATCTAACCTGACTCTGTCATGTACTATTTGTCTCAAAATACACACTCACACCACAGAGGTCTGAGGAAAAAGTGGGTCTTGATTCATACATACAATGAAGCAACAAAGAGCAGCTTATTTGTTCATTTATTCACATTGTAGTCCATAAAGCATTGAGATATTCTCAGTATACTGGTAAAACTCTTAAACTCCTGATGTAACTTTTGTGTCTATCCTGATGACTGTGTGTTATTCATACCCGTGCAGGCTATGTCCAGCTCTGTCTTGCCAAACCACAGCTGAGCACCATGGACAGTGCAGGTATGGAACTGGGCTCTAAACACCACCTCCCGCTCTGCTGCTCTGCTGCTCCGGTGATAGCACTTCACCTACAAAGAGCATCGGGGTGGATTTCAGTTGGAATGTCACACAATTAACAGTAAAACCTATTTTGCACAGAGATTTGTCTGTCCTTTCACAGATTTTTTCCAAATAATTTTGGTTCAGGTATGTTCTGGCTCTAAGGGTTGCTAGGGTTAGGGTTAGAGTTAGTGGTGTGCATCTCTACCTGCCTCCCGATTCGATCCGATTCCGATTATCTGCCTAAAGATTCGATTTGAGTCTGAAATGCATCACAATTCTTCACACAAAAATTTTAATTACTTAATAAAAGCAGTAGAATAGTTTTCAATTTCTTTTTGATTTCAAAATCCCTGAAAAACAGAACATTCATCTATTCACTATAGTGAGCAAAAATGTTCAAAGGGTGCTGCCTATAATTACTTAAATAATATAAGAAATAATGTTTTCGGTATAGCTTTAAGATAGAAAATTACTGAACTTAAAAATAGTAAACAAATACTAATAACTAATAACCGAAATTAGCCCAGACATCCGATTTAAATGTAACGGGTACATCTTTGATTACTGGTAATGTTGGCCCTGTATCCCTGTCCGCCTTTTCTGTTTTAAGTTGGCGCTAGGGCAACGCAGTGCGCATGTCATTGCAACTCTGCCCCCAGAAGTAATTGGAAAACCTCAAAACTTTATTGTCCTCGCATAGACATAGGGAGAAAATCTCATTATGTCACTTTGCTGCATCGATGCGGAATCATGCACGGCTGAATCGCGATGCATCTTAGAATCGATCATTCTCCCCACCTCTAGTTAGAGTATAAACTAGCTTTAACACTACTACTTCACGCTCAATTGTTATGCCCCAACCTGGGGTGGACTAGCCATCTGGAATACCGGGCATGTCCCGGTGGGCCGTTTACTCAGTGTGGGCCAGTATGGTCTGCTTTAAGTCATAATTTACTTACGTGCATTTAGATGCGTGGGAACAGACTAGATTCAAGTCAAAGTTTTGCACCAGTAACATTAAATGACTGATGATTCATATCTCACCATGATGTCCCCCTTTAACTGCAGAGCCGGCTCCATAGTCACACTCAGCTTTCTTGCCCTGGAGCTCTGAGGATCACTGCATGGAGACAGGAAATAAAGGAAACTGCCTCACTTGCTTCACACATACATTAAACAAGGTGAATCTTGTCTCTTCAGGGTAAACCACTGATAAACAACTTCCACTTTAATGTAAGCACAAAGAAATCTTCACTTAAACTCAGACAGTGGTCTGTTGGGACGACATCTGTCAAAGGGACGAGAGAAGGAAAAGCAGCCACCGCCACAGGAGATGAGCTCAGACCACACACAGATGCACACACAGCCACACACGCTGAAAAGTTAAGAGCTGCTTACTAGATGCCTGAGGTGTAAACCAGTTTTAAAGACTGGTAGATTTTCAAGAAAGGATAAAATCCTGCAAAAGGAACACAAAGAAAAGATGTTTAAAACACATTCTGTTCACTGTTCCACCCTCACCCGTATCATTATACTCACCTCCCCCTGTTTGGAAGTTTGGCAGAGAGGGAATAAGTATCTGATGAAGGAACAGAGGACTGTTGTTCATTTTGATGGAACCGGACAACAAACCGCTGAAGTAGTAGATGTACCTGCGGAGGAGGAAATGACATCAGTGATGTGATGATGAAAAGAAAAATGATAGGAGCAAGAGTGTGTCTGACCTGTTTTGAGATGGCTGGAGAAAAGAAGAGACTTTGTCCTCGCAGAACTTCCTCATGGCCAGTGTGGTGAGAGCCTGGTCTGCTCTGTGGACACAAGCACAAGTTTCATAATACTTTCTACACACGTGCGACGATTTACCAAAAGACAGGAGTGGAAAGTAAGTTAAAGTACAAACAAATACTTTGATAAAATTGTACTCAATTAAAAGTTACTTTTTTGACAGCGTGAGGATGGCCTCCTCTGAGTAGAGCAAAAGCACAACGGGATATGAATCTTAAATCCACACTGTTGCCCCTTCCTGGTGTCACATTCTGTGCGGACATTGTTTTTTTTTTTTTTTTGTTAAAGCTCAATATATTTTAATTATTATAGGCCCATAAATGTGTACCATACCAACATGTATACCAACATACCAACATGACTGAAAATGCAGCTACATAAAAAACTTAAAAATTCAATTAGATGCTTTAAATATGACTTAAAAAATATATAAATAAACAAAAATGTTATTTGTCACTTCCCTCCTCAATCAAAAGATAAGCATAAAAGACTGTTGTGAAGTACAGTGAGCAGCATGTTAATACATTATGCAGTAAATTCCTACACACACTGGAATATTTACGACCTTATTTCCATGTAAAGATGCACATTACCCAGATGAGATCTTGCTGTAGTGCATGTACGCTGCCACAATCACCCCCATCTTTCCTTTGTTTCCCTGTCAGGAAAAACATTAAGATTTTATTTTTATTTTTTTTACATAAAACCAAGCATGTATATTAATGTTCTACTAACTTTACACTGAAGGACCACAACATTGTTGGGGTCAGAGGTCAGCCAAGTCTCCATGGCTTTACAGATGGCACAGATCCTGTCCAGAGGAGGGGAGTGAAGATCGGGCCAGCAATACTCCTGCACCTGGACCACAGCGGTGGATTCTTAGTCGTGGTTTATTCAGCAGCGTATTGTTTAAAAGTGCCCTGAAAGGTGTCATGTACCTTTGGGTTAAGTCTCTTGATGTCGTGTCTTTTTTCGGATAAATTTAGAAGCTGAAAAAGACGACACACCCATTATGAAAATAAACAGGCCATAAATGAAGAACTACCTAAAATACATATCACCCACTAGCCAGGTGTACTGTTAGAGGTCGGTTTCACAGACTCACCAGAAACTTGTCTTGGTGTTTGGATTTGAGCATGGAGGCCACTTCCTGCAGGTTCCTGCGGTAACATGGCTCCTCCAGCTCTGGCGGGAAGAACACGGAGATGATCCTCTCTGTGATGTAGATTAGGTCAAAGTCGTAGTGGCACTCCATCACTTGCTCCAGACTTTTACTTCTGCACGAAAAAAATCCATTCAGCCAAAATAGTCGATAATACTCAACTCTACACCTGGTTTCACTCTAACTGTACCATATATGTTTATGTAAATATATACACATATACAAATATCTTTCATAAAGTGGCATATGCTTGTTAGAAGATGTTCAGCTCAGGTTTGGTAATACCTTGGCATAGAGCCTCTCTTCTTCGGCAATGTGGATTTGGTGGAACTGTGCTGAGGAACAAACAGAAGACAGCAGCGCAGTGCTGCAGTGACACTTGTGATGTAACACTTCTCAAACAACAAACACACAAACTCACCAGGTCAGGCACCGGGGTGCAGGTGGCAGACACCTGACGAGAAAGAGAAGCATGTGGTTAGATTTCAGCCGCAGCATAAACACTCGGTCCTCTGCACGACTGGGACAGAACCAACTCATGTCTAGTCATGTGCTTGATTTAATGCTCTTAGTCCCACTCCAGCAGATGAAGGAACTGAAGGCTGTCGGAAGAGGAAGAGGAGGAGAAAGCTGATGGAGAGGGCAGTGAAATTCATTCTTCCTCTCCTGTTGTCATCTGCAGCAGCTGCTTTCAAGAAGCACACAGGCAAGGATTTGGCATTTCCACATAAACATATCATGACAAATGACATCAACAAAGATGAATTAGATCACAGAAATCCCCACAAGAGGCAGAATTCTGGAGATAATAGTGCAAACGTGACTTTTATCATTCTGTGTAATCATAGAGAATTGGGCATTATAATCATCCTAATGGTTAAAAAAACAAAGTTACAAGGCTCAGGGTGTGAAGAGTAGAAATAAATAATGATTAATTTGTTAGTTTTGTTCTCTTGAACAGAAGGATAGTATAATTTATTATCCTGCATGTGTTGTGCAGACTTTTACTCTGCTGATGGTTCAACGGCTACTTGCCAAAGCCCCAAACACATACAGAGCTAAGTCGAGGTCATCCAACAGCCAAAATATAATAAATTCCTCACCACAGCCTCTGTAGATAAGATGGTTTGACAATATAGTTACTTAACTATAAAATTCACATAAAAAAGTATTTGAGAAGATGCATCGAATTATATCAAAGACAACTAGGGAAGAAATATAATTAAAGGTGTGGAAAACTCATTTAATCAATACATTTGCAATGGTCTCTAGTAGGAATGAATGCCTTGTAAGTTGTACTCTGGGGAAAAAAAGCTCTGGTGCACCAGTTTCAGGAACCAGAAAAATACCACATCAGAGGAGAGCTTAAGACGGCAGGATCTGGAGTCATATTTCCTGATATTTGAACATCTCACCTCTGATTGGCGTACAGCAACTCTTTCACCGATTCCATTTTCTTTGCGATGTTTATGTTTTATCTCCGCAGACAACACAAGCCGGGAGGAGTTCTGCTGTGTGGTGCAGTTGCCAATGCTAACATTTAGCTTCTACTAGTCATGGCGTCCTCTGTTGTTTTCTGGACACTAAACCAACAACAGCCTTCCCTGTCACAGGTCAAGATGGGCGAGTCCATGAATGTTAAGTAACAGTGTGGCGTAGATCTGTCAGGATTTTCAAATCCTAGAGTTTCACCATCTATTTTCTATCAGAAGCTAATGCAGGAGATAGGTGTAGGAGACTATTGTCATGATCAGCCTGCATGAAAAACTCAGAGTGGCCGATTATAATCAGAAATAACAATAACAAATATTTTTTTCTGTGTTCCACGTCTTTAACATTACAGAAACTGTCAGCTTTTTACTTTCAGCCATTTGGTAGACTAACCTGGCTGGCTAACCCCCCCCCCCCCCCCCCCCCCCAACCCTGTATGGACAAAGCGGGTTCAGAAAATGGATGGATGGATGTGTTCAGAAATAAAATCATACACGATGAAAACATTTTAGCATCGATTTTAGAATAGATGATGAATGCCAACAATGTTAAATGTTTTCCTGACAAACTCTGAAAATTATTTTCTTTTTGCTTGTTTAATGATAACATCTAGCTCTTGCTATATGGGTACCAAAGAAATGTTGGTTCCTACTGGCAGCAGATGCAGGACTGCTTTAGTCTTTGTCCAGAAGTAGTTTGGATGCTTTAAAACGGGCATGTCCATAGTGATTTTGTGTGGCCATCACTAGAACTCATAAAGGATGAATTTTGTTTCTTCAGTGGGCTGTTAAGGAATATCAATATTTTCCAACATTTTTCAGGACGATTACCCTGATTATAGCCCTTGTCTTAAAAAGTTTGGGAATCCCTGCTTTAGAAGCAAATTGTCTCATAATCTCACAATGTGTTCATTTTTCTTCAAAAGACCATCATGTGAATTAAATGAAATTTTCTTGTATTAAATTTAAGCAGATGCTGTGTCTTTGGCCCTTAAACAGCTGAGGAAGACATGCTCAGTGGTGGAGGACACCGACTTACGCATTGAGAGAAAATGCAAACTCAGCACAGAAAGGCTGCAACTGAGTGTTTAACTTCTTGCTGCAAGGCCGTGGTGCTACCAGCTGCTCCACCATGCAGCAATTTTCAGGCAAGTAACAAAAAAATATATCATAGTCTAAAACTTTCTAAAATGTTTAAATAGCTGATGATGTGCAAATCCAGGAGGAACGGTACACACACACACACACACACACACACACACACACACACACACACACACACACACACACACACACACACACACACACACACACACACACACACACACACACACACACAGGTGTGGCTCTGCCAGCCTGAGGGTCTTCTTTAATGCAGGCTTGGGCCACTGGGAAGCAGGCCATCTGGTTCAGTTTGTCTTGTTCATCAGTTAGTATTTACTGAGGTGCCAGTGACATCACTCCATCCCTTGCTGGTGGCTGACGCCTGCATTCTGTGCTTTAGGTCTCTTCCGGCTGGTCGAACACTGTTTTTGACCTCATGAAATCCTGCTCAGATGAGAATATTGTCTTTTTGCTTTTACTTTGCTTGTTATTCTCAGAGACCTGGCTACAGTTGGAAATAGCCAACCTTTTAGGTAAACAAAAGCATTCTTTTTACAATTTTTTTAATTTCTTTGTTAACGTCCCACTAATCCCAAATGGCTGGTTTTATTTTTGCTAAGCTTTTCAAACTGCTTAAATTGTCTGATTTGGGTACATTTTGCCTCTGGTATTTGATGGATAAAGGTAAAGTGATGTCCAGAAGAAGCCAGTTAACTTACAGCAAGCCGAAAACATTAATGAACTCTCCAGGAAACATCTGTATCACAGCAAGATATGTTTACAACTTTGTTTTTCTTCCAAATGGAAGCAACTAGAGCTGCTTCCTCTTTGCTTCTAGTCTGTATCTTTAAAGGAGTTCTATGATCCAACTCCAATGGGTCCTGCTCTCATTTCCTACAGAAAATGCTCAACTGTTCCTTTGAGACATTAGCTCTGGAATCTGTGAAAATGTCAACAATACTTTTCAATATTTTCTGACATTTAAAGCCAACCTGATCATTAGAAATAAGTCAGCATTGATCACACTCAAACATTTAACCTTGAGCTGGCGGCTAACCTCCTTTACAACACAGCATGGGTGAACTGCCACGTTTAGATTTATTTTCCAAGAAAACAGAAATCCAGCACACAGATCTGAGTAGTGGAACCAGGAGAGACGTGTGAGCGCTGCAGACATGGTCGGCGGTATCCAGGAGGAGCAGGCTTCATTCTGAGCTGACATCACACTCTGGAGAGGGAGAAGTGAGTAAGACGTCCTCTGTGAAAGTGGAAAACAAGCTAGGCGGCCACAGTTTATCCAAAATTCCATAAGCTTGGAAAAAGCTCAAAAATATATTTTCAGACATTTTATGTTCCATGTGGAAAGCTGAAATAATTATGGGGGGGGGGGGCTGAAGGCATTTCTAGAAAACAGCATGCCCCCTTTAACCCCCCCCCCCCCCCCCAACTGCCTACAGAAGCACAAAAACATGTACCTCACCATGAGATCCAAGCATACACCCCCTCCTCCCCCCGAGCAAACACAAGTAAATGGCAGCTAGATAAGCATCGCCACACAAAGCCAGGGGACGTCACCAACTGACCGGCCTCAAGGAGGAGGAAGCAGGAGCTCAAAGCTGAAGCAAATCATCCAGGGAGTAGAACGACAGGAGGAAAAGGACAGGATGACAGGAAGAGGAAAGAGAGAGAGAGACAAACAGAAACAAAACATCGAGGGAGAGTCCTGGCTGGGAGAAAGATGTCAACAGCTGAACATGCCTCCTGACTACTCTCTCAGAGTAGAGAGGTTTAACACAGCTATTTTGATATGGCTCCTTATTTTAGATGAAACAGAAACTCTGTCTGAACACTCAAAGGCTCATTTTATCTATTCCTGTTTCACTCATCTCACAAATCCATTGAAATTACGATGAGTTTTAGGGATCTCCCTGAGGAGTCTGAGCAGTGGATTTGTTGGTTGCATCCAAGCATTCAGTTAGCCTACACAGCACCATTTTTATGTTATATTTACAGGCATTGCAAATAATAAAACAATAAAATACAAAAACAATTCCAGGAATATTAAACCAAGCTTGCTGTGCACCTTTTCCCAGGAAATTAAAAGCATGGAGTCGCGTGTGTGTGTGTGTGTGTGTGTGTGTGTGTGTGTGTGTGTGTGTGTGTGTGTGTGTGTGTGTGTGTGTGTGTGTGTGTGTGTGTGTGTGTGTGTGCATACATGCATGCCTCCTGTGCCACACTTGAACGTTGCTAAGGTGAAGATAGCAGTAAAATTAAATTAGCCGCGATAATTATCCGTGCTCTGCTCATCATGACCACAGATAGTAATAACAAACGGCCTCTGAAAAGCTGCCGATTCTATTTACAAAGAAATTCATCTGATGAGAATTTATTTTCCGCTCTATGACATCCACTTCAGTCTTGGACTTTCCGCTGATGGCGACAGGTTCTGCTCCCACTAGACAACATGTTTACCTGGTCTCCGGCGGCGACTCACAAAAGGCTGGAAAATGTGTCTCCCTACAACAAGGGCCTTAAAACATACAGAATCGGACCAGAGCTTGTCTAATGACTCACATCTGCTTTAACCAGGCTCTCATGTAGGGAGAATTATTGAGAAACAAATTTATCTTTGCAGGGAATATTTTTTAATCCACACTCAAACTAATAAACACAAAAGCCAACAACGATGCATTGAGTAAGAAGAATATCAATTCACAAATCAACACGAAACATTAGCTGAGCAGCTGTTTCGTGTGAGAGGACAATGCTGCAATCTAACATTAGGATCCATCAGCTGGTGACAGGTGAGCTGCCTGTCTGGATCTCCACCACCTGTCTGTCAGGTGTCCTTTGGTCCAGAGTGACTGTTTATCATCCAACAATGCTGACCACCTCTGAGCTGAAGATGAAGCTACGACAAACAGTCAGTAAAACCAGAAAGTTGTACATTGTTCTATTGTTAATGGGGCATGTGCACAATGATTCAAGCACCCTTATCACTGTTTTGTTTTCAGTCCTGGCATGATTTTTGTTTGCTAATAAATGCCACAGCTTAGAAAAATTAGATGCATTGTAATGTAGCATAATGGTTCAAATGGAAATAGTGTGAATTGTGGCTGAAAGATGTCGTGTGAAGTTGACAAAAATTAGCAAGACAAACGGGGATAGGTCCCCATAGACAATAGCAGGATTTGGGGCCGCAAGATTAGCAAGCCTGTCCCTCTTTGGGCACTTCAGCTCATATAAACTACACAGTTAGAAGGTAATATTGAGTTTAAACCATCAAGTGAAAGTTAGATTTTCCCTGACTACATTAGCATTTTGATACTTTTATAGGCTTTTACACAACCTCAACTGACAGTATGGAAATTTTTCAAATTAATTTTCAACAAAATAATTTCATTTCCTTTCAATCCTAATTTGAAAGGGACATTGCTGTCCAGCAAGATGTAACTGATGTGATGCATTCAGAGTTTATAGCTAGCGCTAATTTACAACTCCTGTCCCTGGTTGGAAAACTGAATTAATAATAAAAATGGTCTTATGCAGTACTGAAACTATATTAAGACAACACAATAACAGAGATGTCCTATACTAAGCTTAAACCATCAAATTAATGCATCAGTGATGAAATGCATTCTTTTCATGCTCTAAAAGATTCAAATATTGTGTAAAACCCCTGTTCAAACTCCCTCAGCTTTATTGGTACATATGTAAACTATCCATCAAAAAGTAAACATTTTTGTCTTCTTTCATCTGCTGTAATTCCCATGGACATGGGAATTGTAGTTTTCTTTGAAATCTCCTCAGAGTTCAGAAAGTATGCACTCAGACAACATAGCTTCAGTTATGTTGTAGCTTAATTATTCTCCTCAAATGTATATCCTACTAAAGTGGGCCAACCAGTACCTCATGGTGGTCAGAATTAAATATTTTGTCAATCCAGTTTCTAGTTTTCACACAGCAGCTGTTACCATGGTGATTTGAGTGAGCTACTGGCAGAAGCTTTAACATTTCTGTAGATCTTGGTTCTCTCTTACAATCTGATCAGATGTTTACAAAGCTGATGATGGAATTTCAGACAGTAGCTGCAGTGGCATTGCTCAACACATTCCAGTTAGTAAATGAAAGTTATGTAATTAAAATCTTACTGGCACTCGCAGATATTCAAAACACAAGCAAAGAAATATGTGCAGAAAATTCTATTATTACCACACGTCCTTTGCTTTTTTAGTTTGGAAAAGCATTTATAGTAAAAAGACATGATGGAGTGAAAACACATTGTCCATAATCTGCTACCATTCACTTCACAACTACCTCATAAAAAATAAATGTCATGAATTTGTTCTTGAGAATAAATAATTAAAATCTGTGTACTATTATAGGTCACAGCAGAAATATCTGCTTCAATTCCTGTGCAAAATCCATTCTCTGCCTTGAGCAAAACCCAGGTTCCATCTAAACCAGAGCAATGTTTATGTATGATCTAAGAGCAACCATGGAAACTCTTTGAAGAAGGCAGATTGTTACTTGATGAATGATCAAAAACCATAAAGAAAAGTTAAAAATGATGACATCAGCATGAAAAACAACACAGTGCGGAGTGTTTTTACCTTTTGTTAAGGAGCTTCAGTCTTTCCCTCTGCCTCCAAGCAGTCCTGTGTGTGAAGTACGGTGATGCACTACGTCCCCCTCCCTCGTCCCTCTGTCACACACTCACACACTTAAACTCTGCACACTCTAACCAACTCACTTTTCTTTCTCCGTTACAATAATACACACACACTCAGAGTGTGTCAGCAGCACATACACTGTAACATTAACCCTTCTAAATTCGTCTGTGTAAACCTTTTTGCCTCCCTTTCAGTACGCCCCCTGCAGACTGTGTGCATCCCTGCACCGTGAACTGATGTGAAACAGAGACAAGGAGATGCAGGAGGGATGAAACAGATGAAACTGAGTTGAACATGTGCAAAGGTGACTAAAATAACCCAGAAGTGCTTCAACAGCGACATCAACGCTCCTACAAAGATAAAACAGAAGGTGACAAGCAGACATCCGTCTGCAGCCTTGACCCAATGTTCCCCTTTATGCAGGAATAACATCCCAAATGGGAGCTATTACACATGCACACAGCTGCCTGACACTTATTTGTGTACCCCGTGATCACTTGCTGACAAGCATCTACGGCACTCTTGTTATTTTCTATATTTACCCACCTTAACATTTCCCGTCCAGACTGATCACCAACGTCCTCTCTCATCTGTGGTGCCTGCTCTGTTGCAGCCTCAGAAAAACGTTTTTAGCTATCGCCGTAATGATCAAACGGCTGACTATGATAAAAACAACATTCTTTTTCAATGTGTGCTGCTTAGGCACAACAGCTGGCAGTGCTCAGTGGTGCGCTATCACAGTGTGTGAGATGACGGTTTGTGTCTTTCCATGTTGTGGTAACGTGCAGCAGATCTGCCGCTTTACCGAGAAAGCATTTTCATAATATGAATTATTAAAATAATGTTAAATTTTATAATTTCTCTTGAAGTCTTACCAAACGTGATTGTGTGTGTGTGTGTGTGTGTGTGTGTGTGTGTGTGTGTGTGTGTGTGTGTGTGCGTGTGCATGTGCATGTGTGCGTGCGTGTGTGTGTGTGCACATTCATTACATCCACTGTGAGGACACATTTTTGACTTTTCACCTTTAACATGGGGACATTTTGAAATTGTGAGGACATTTGTCAGGTCCTCACAATGGAACATCCCTAACAGTTAGTTTTAATGGTATGGTGTGAATAACTTTTAGTTGAGGTCAGAGTTAGGAATACAGCAACGTTGGTTATGGTTAGGGTATGGGTTAGGCATAGTAAAGTCACAAAAATGAACAGAAGTCAATGTAGGGCCCTCACAAGTATAAATATACCAAAATGTGTGTGTGTGTGTGTGTGTGTGTGTGTGTGTGTGTGTGTGTGTGTGTGTGTGTGTGTGTGTGTGTGTGTGTGTGTGTGTGTGTGTGTGTGTGTGTGTGTATTCTCACTTTTGTGATCTATTGGGACTCTCTTGTTTAGACATTCCAACCTTTTTAGGACAACAGTGTTTATGGGGACTAAATCGTGGTCTGAACCAGGCAAACCACTTCTGGGTTCCAGACGTGGTTTAAGCATAACCTTGTTGTGTTTTGAATTACACAGTGAGTAAAACCACCTTAAAGACTGCAAAATCACAGAAATAAATCCGTTTGGTTTCTGTGTGTCAGAGAACAGGTGTGGCCATTCTTTTTTGGAGTATTTATGATTTGTGCACATAAACAGCAAGGTTTGACAGCTCCGGTATGGCAGGGTCGGGAACTCTGGTGAGAGTGATACTGAGCTGATGTTACATAAGGGCAGAGGACATGGACAGAGAGACTGCCTGTCTCACATAGTGGAAACATCACATCTTTAAATGAAACAGTCTCTTCTTTGTCCGTTAACCAGGTTTCCTGCACAGTTTCCACACTGAGACGTCTAGCGTGCTCTGTGGATTTTTTTCCACATTGTTTATTTAAGGTAAAAACAGCTGGGTGCTTCAGAAATTAGCGTCAAATCTGACAACTCACTACTGTATCATATTAAGGCTGTAAGTACATGCCCAACCATTGCAGCTTTTGGTAATGAAGCTCATATAAAGCCATAATAATTAGATTTAACGCCAGACAAAGATAAATGCATTTCAGGTACTCTGATAAAATTGCAATCAAGATTAAAACTATATCCTAAAAATATGCCCCATTTTGTTTAAACTCAGAAAATATGTTAGAGAACTAGACATACATCAGGCAAGAAGGCATGCCTGACTCACCTTGGCTTCACACATCTTGTGAACTGCAGACTTGCACGCTGAAAACAACAGAGTCAAACATGTTTAACTCTGGGATTTAGCTTTAGGACACAGAGAAGAAGACAGACTGGGTGAGCTTGTCTGGGACAGGCTTGACCGCGATCCATCACACCTGACCCGACTGAGACATGGTCTCACCTTTGCAGAAAACTCCAGGGTTGTTGATGTTCTGCTCACACACATCACACACACGACTTTTGTTAAAACTCTTCACTGTGAAGGTGTGACTCCCTGCTTTGGATATCTGCAGAGACACACAGAGCAGTCAATGCATGTATGTGCAACACTCGAAGAAGAAAAAATAACAATAAATTTAGCAGATTGGTGCTTGTGAAAAGAGCATGAAAACTCTCTTGACATGCACTGTGAGTGTGCATGGTTGGCACGTGCTAAGGTTCAGCAGTTTTCTTGTTTTTCCTCAGGCATTTGGGTTCTCGCTGTCCCACACATTGCTGCTGTCAGTACAGATGTGTGCTGGTTTGGTGACACACCAGCATGAGCACACTGCAAACCCCATCCTCTACAAACACATTCCTGTCATATCTCATTGTCTTTTAAATAGTTTTTCCTCGGACTGCGGGAGCATCTGAGGATGGAATTAAGGAGCTTTTTGTGATGCTGGTTCCAGTTTGATTTTTTTTTCAAGGTATAACAGAGCAGATAGGAATATATTATAGTCACATGTGTTTATTGTTTCTGCTCATGTTTTTTTCTGATGCAGTTGGTTTTATTCTTATGTGGTTTCTTCTTTCATCACTGTGAGGTGGTAAAACACCAGGCAGACATGGCAGCTGTGTAAATATCAGACTTCTGTGGGCACAAACGGAAATGTACAGTCACTGAAAATACAGCATTTTAATATTCTTGCAACAAACTGACGTAACTGGTTGAATATTGGAGCAAATTTAAAGTAAATTAACTAAAGGAAATGAAAGCAAACGAAAAATGTTCTCATTTTTGGAAATCGTCCACTCTTGTTAAAAGTGTGAATTCTAAAGGCAAATAATTGCTCCACCCTGAGTCTGTGGATTATTTTTTTTATTCATAAACCAAATACTCAACCGTCCCAGAGACAAGAGCAGCGTTTGTATAAAGTTCTGCTGATGTCCTCCCAAAGCAAAGCCATTTGACAGCAAGTGAAGCACATGAAACCGTGGCATTTTATTTTCCCTGAGCAGCGACAGAGAAGGGACCTGAAAACATTAGAAGGGAGGAGGTGTCTGCAGAGAGATGAATGTGTGGTTTGTATGATGGAGTGAAGCGTTGTACAGTATCCACCCACCACTAACACAAACACAGAGACGTAACTTTTCTGGACCAGTACAGATTCATGCATGTGCTTGGGCTTGGTACAAACTCTCAGTAGAGGTGTTTTAACTCTAAATGATATTTGGGTTTTCCAAATAACAACCGAATTTGGTATGTATAATAAATCAGATGGGTTTCTTATGTGCAGATTTTCTTTTGTGTAATTAATAACTAATGTGCCCCTACCTTGAGCCTTGCAGGATTACATAATTTAACCACATTCATCAATCTTTATAAATACTGCTGCACCAAAACTGAAAGTGACTCCATTAAAATAAAATGTTTTGATAAAATCCACCAAATTAAATAGAAACTGAAGATTTGGATATAGCCTGGAAGTTTAAGATACAACTGAACACCCCCTGGCTGGTTTCAGAATAAAATGTAAGCCCTGCCCCCTCCATCTAAACAAATAGGAGAATTTCATAGTTAAAAAAATACACCTCAGATAAATTGTCCCAGTGTTTGCATAAAGCAGGATCTGTAAAAAGGACATTATTGCTTCATTTTTCAACAGCAGAAGATGGTGATGTTTTGTTGCTGTTTTGTATGATTTAAAATGTATTTAGACTGATTGCTGTTGTTTATTAAGTAGCAACATTCAAATAGCTGATTAAAAAAATAAAAATTTTGCTCAAAAAACAAAATGACAGTTTGCAGTTTTATTTTTGATGATAAGGATTTTAAATTTGAACATTTATACTTATTAATTACAGAAATAATAAACTTTATTATAAAATGCATGCAATATTTGGTTAAAATGTCCCTAAATCTATTTAAATTCAAAGGGTAAGAAAGGAAAAGTTCACTGAAAACCAATAAATCACTATTTATCTAAACATCTTGCTTTTTCACATTATGTGTTCATGATACAAATTATTAGATGCTTACTGCAGTTAATGTAAATTATCAATTGTCAATTTTGACTGTGACATTTCTGTTTCTGTATATAGTCAGCCAGAAAGTATTCACAGCACTTTCCTTTTTTCACACTTTGTTATGTTACAGCCTTGTTCCAAAATGGATTACATGATTTTTTTATCGTCAAAGTTTTAGACAATGACAGAGGTGAAGCTGCACTAGATAAAAGTGTGATTTTTCAAGAAACTTCAGATCTAACAGCTTTAATAGAGATTAATAGAGATTATTCGCGCAATCATTATTTGAAATAATTTCAGGAGTCCATCAATCTCACTTCATCAGGTGGACCTGATCACACATTTGAATAAGTGAATCAACACTGTCACCTAGTGGAAAAGGGTTGACTTGTACTTTAAAACAAAAATCCACATAAGAACCAGCCAAAGGCTTACATGTGTAACAGCTGGCTGGTGGATTCAAAATTCTCTGAAGCTTTAGATTTTATTAAAACACTAATCATATTAAACAAGTTTAATAAAGATTGCATTTGACGATTTCTGTACCTAAAAACAATCAAAAACAAGCTACCTCACAATTAGATCCTTATGTGAGAAGCAGATTTGACCATAATAAAATGAGCATGGGGGAAAAGCAGGCAATTACAGATCAGGTGTATTTTTGTTATTTGTTCCAGTGACCTGTTGTTTGAATGCTGTAAAGTAATCAAACTATAGTGATCCTGTTTCTCTTTATAGTCGGTTTATTATTCTGCTTCCGTACGTTTTTTGGCATTTAACTACTTCCACAATTCTTCAACTATTTACACAATTTTGGTATAAAAACATTCAGCTTGTTCAGCTTATGCCGGCAATGACTTTTGGTATTAAAATATTTTATACTTTTTCAGATATTGAGCTTTTTCTGTGATTTTTGGTCCCATTGAAATGAATGGGATTGCTCAATTTTCAGCTAAATCCTATCACTTTTTTGAACTCTTACTCTTTTGGTTTAACTTTAACCTAGGGACTTCATTCAAGTATCAACAAACTCACAGGTTTTTCAGCTATTACTGGATAAAAAATCATTTTGATATCTATTACAGTTTTTCTAAAATCACAGGTAGAAGCTGAGTTACGGCTTGAGATTTTCAGAAAAAATCACAAAAATTATAATGGGGAAAGATAGGAGCAGTGACCCTCCCTTGCTCCATTTCTGCCATTGTCCCGAGAGAACCGTAGGTCTGATTGAAATGAGATGCATGCTGGCTTACAGCTTATGAATATACTTTTGTTTTGAGCTGTAATTCATGAACATACTCCAAACATTGTGGTCGTACAGTTCATTTCTTTGAGAATATTTAAATTTAAAAAAATTCTTTCAACCACTCTAAAATGAAAATTCTGCACTCTAACTTTTGACCTTCACATTTTCTGGAAAGAACTCTTTCCAACACCCAGACCGTTTGGAGTACCGAAATAAATTATATCTCAAAAAGTAGGAATTTTTGTCAACTTTTCAGAATGGGTTTCATTTTGTCCTTAAGTTTTACATTTCTTTCTCTACAAGCATCAGAAGGAGGAGAGACCCTGATTCTGTCTCATTGAAACCCATGTTAAAGGAACAGAGATTTTCTCCTCCGATCGGCTTCAGACAGCTAACATGTTCTCGTCAAAGCTTCTAGACAATTCATGGTAGGCACATAAAACTCACACAGATGACCATCAAAGCCTTCTGCCACTCACGCATTTTGAATTTTTCCAATAGGTGCAGTGGTTTTTGAATGGCGATGAGACGTGTCAGAGGTCTGAAATGACATCTGAGCAGCTGAGCTCTGTTAAATGCATGATTTATGAAATCTTGAAACAAAAATTTCCACCGACCACATCTTTTATAGTACACTAATGATTTTCTCAAATTTAGTAGGCTTTTTTGTCAGCTTCAAAGTGATGTCTTCAGTTTTACTGTTGGCTTTACATTTTTTGTGCTATAAGCCCCAGAAGGAGAACTGTGCCAGCTTTCCTACATTTAAATCCCTTTAAAAAAGGCACCTGTGGCCGACAGCAGAAATTTTCTCCTCATATCTTCTAGAACATTTGTGGTAGGCACACAATACTTCACACACGACCACCAAAGCCTTCTGCCGCCCACGCTTTTTGAAATTTTCAAATCGGTGCAGTACTTTTCGAATGGTAATGAGAAGTTTGACACGTCCAATTCCACTTCTGAAGGACAGATTTAAAGGCTTCTCTCATTAACAGGAGTACAGCGCCCCCAACAGCCGGGGGAAATTTTTTTTACCTATTAATTTACCTAAAAATCTACCTATTAAACTATTCTCATTCAAATGCCAGCTGTTTAAACATTTCAACTTTTGAGTTTTTAATCAGTGTTCAAGGATTTGCTGTTTTCTGCAGTTTAGAATTTTTTGTCCATTCTCCACCTATATTCTGAGCTTTATTACACTTGTTGGTGATTTTTGCTTCTAAATCTTTATATGTTCAGCTCGTTTTGACAGTTTAGCTTAGTTTCAGCTTCACTTAAGCTATTCAGCAGCTTCAGCAATCAGTTTCCAAATTTAGCATATGCTGCTAATTTCACAGTTCAGCTAAATATAAATATTAAACTGTTAAACGTGTCCTGCTGAAATAACAGGTGTTTAGACATTTTAGCTGTCCAGATTTTTATACAATGTTCACAGATTTCACTTTTCTGCTGTTTAGGATTATTTTTCTCTATTATTCACTTACTTTTTGTGCTTTACTTGGTTGGTGCTTTTCGCTTCTACATCTTTCAATACATTTGGCTCATTTTGACAGTTTTGCTTTGTTTCAGCTTCAGTCCAGCTATTAAGCTGATTCAGCTAACAGTTTAAGCTATCCAGCATTCAAACAGCATTTCTGCAAGAAATGCAATTTATCTAGTTAATGCTACATTTGAGTATAGAGAACGTAAACAGCAGACGCATTCTTAGTTAATTTCCTCTCTGTGGAAAACTTTTTTGTTACCAATAAAAAGGATCTCTCGTTGAGTGGACATTCAGTCTCCAGCACAGTTGTGGTATTGCATTGCAGAATAATAGAGCCCCACCCCACTAGTTTTTTTGTTTTTTTGCAGCCAAAAGCCTATGTCATTCTCCAAACATCTCTGACCACTAATACGAGCATGAAGCCCTTCCACATCTAGGGCGGAGAGAAAGAAACAGGGACTGGCTGCAAAAATAGGAAAAAGACAGTTTCTTTAGCTGAAATATCTTTTACATTTCAGCCTTCTGATTCATCTATACTGAAACTGATCAAGCTGATCCAGCTGTGCATGTCAGTAAATTATAATGTATGTACAAACACCAACAGAAATGTACTCAGCATGTCCTTGAATTGAAACACGAACATATCGAAGAGCACTGTACAGTAGTGTACACACACACACACACACACACGCAAGCATGCATGCATGCGTGCACACACACATACACACCTTTGGCAATAAATGCCTCATTGCTCTTTTTCAGTGGCACCTCACCTCACAAGTGATGACATGCAGGAGCCTGAGAGTCACAGCCTCAAGAACACACACACACACACACACACACACACACACACACACACACACACACACACACACACATGTGCACACACACACACACACACGCACACACACACACACACACACACACACACACACACACACACACACACACACACACACACGTGCACGCGCGCACACACACACACACACACGCGCACACACACACACACACACAATCATCCCAGGAAGAGACAGGAGCAGGTGGTGAGCCAGTGGGTACGCTCTGGTTCTGCCTGGGTATTTATAACTTGTGTAAGTCGAGGTCGTCACCCTGAACAGCCATGAAAATGCTGAAAATAGGTGTAAGCATGAGAATGTAGATACGTGTGTGTGTGTGTGTGTGTGTGTGTGTGTGTGTGTGTGTGTGTGTGTGTGTGTGTGTGTGTGTGTGTGTGAGCAAGGGAAAGAAAACACTGGAAATGAAAACCTCCTTGCATGAAAGACCAATTTCATTACTCTCCACTGTTTCACGTCCACCCATTCAGAGGGGACCATGCTATCATACTCTGGCATTGTCATACAATCACACACACACTCACACTCACACACACACACACACACACACACACACACACACACACACACACACACACACACACACACCACACACACACACACACACACTCAGGGCTGTTGCGAGACTTGAATCCACATGTGAGGGATTAAATTGGAAAAAAAAAGATTTGATGCAATCCACTGGTGTTCATCCATCTTTTTAATCTGAATTTTAATCTTTAATAACACATAATCTGACTTTACAGAAGTGAAATGTGTTAACTATCATACATATATTTAATATTTTTATAATTTATTATATGAAAATTTGTTTAGGAATTACCTAAAAACCTCCAAAAAGTAAAACTTCACACACACAACCACACATTTACCTGTTTTACAAATAGTTTTCTGCACAAAAACAGTTTTTTCTTTTCAAAACACAAACTAAGTAAACTCCCCCTCCTCCTCTTTGCTGTGTGACACTGACCAGCAGCAACATGCCACAGTGTGATTTACTCCGACATGTGAGAACACAAATACTGGTGTGAGCAGCCTCGGCGTTAAATCAACATCTTATTGCTTTTCTATAAAAGTCCTTTAGAGGCTTTTATTTGCGTAGGAGTGTGGCTGGCTCCTAAATCCATACACACACTTCTAAATAGAACCAGGAGACAAGAGGGCTGTGGGTCAGAACCAGACAGTAACATACACCACTTCCTCTTGATCCTCGACGCCTGAGGGACATCACTAACAGTTGATGAAGTGAATCAGCTGTTGTGTGTACATTTTTCCCCTCCTGTAAATCATTTGTGCAAGAGGAAAAAATAGCTTTGCTCCTCTAATTGTGCTGAATTAAAGACAAGTTGATGAAATGTTTCCTACAAGAGGGCTAACCTGCTTTGAAGTAATCTATTCTGGAGGCATAGTGATGATTCCTAGGATTTCTTTGGTGGTTGTTTATGACTGGTGTGTGTGTGTGTGTGTGTGTGTGTGTGTGTGTGTGTGTGTGTGTGTGTGTGTGTGTGTGTGTGTGTGTGTGTGTGTGTGTGTGTGTGTGTGTGTGTGTGTGTGTGTGTGTGTGTGTGTGTGTGTGGCTGACTCCCACCAAGGCACATCAAGCATGGTTCAAAAAAGAGCTGTTACTCATTTTAATGCACAGTTCAGTTGAAGTAAAGAAGCAGCTTTTACTTACCTCAGAAAGCTGAAGGATCTCAGGATGTTCCTGAGGTCCTGCCTCCACGGGGATTCCTCCTGGCTCTGTACCCAGTCCCTGCTCCTTCATCCTCCCACTGCTGTAGATGCAACCCATTCTTCCTACTCTTTCACCTTTTAACGTCTTCAGTCCTTCATCCGTCGTGTCCGGTCCAAGGCTTCACACTGAGAGGTCCCACTTCTCATGTCACTTCATGTTTTGAGTCCTGTTAGGTTTCCGTCCACTCCTAACATCTCTCTTCTCCCCCTCACAGTGACTCCTCACACCTCTGCCCTTTACTTTGGCCACCCTTTCCGTCTTGAAACCAACCCCAGATGACTTGCAGCCCTCTGGACTCTCCTCTTACAACTCTGCTTTCTCACCCTCAATAAGTGTCACTGAGACACGACCCTCCACCCACCCTCCTCCTCCTTCTTCACACTTGCCAGTACCTCCCTTCTCTTCCCCTCCAAACCTCATAACAACCTCCCTCTCTCTGAGAGACCCTCTGGTCTTCCCCTACCTGTCTCACTCCATCAGGCTCCTCTTGCTGTCTCTCTTCCGAGGAGAAGGGGCAGCTGTTTTGGCTTGCTGATGTCAGGCCCTTCCCCTTTCCTTTGGCATCATGCCAGGGCCTCTCGTGCTCATCTTCCTCACAGAGACGCGATTAGATAGAACTCCTTTCACAGACTTTGCACACTTGATACCAGTGATCTCACCTCTCACTCCTCTCAGCTCTCAGTGAGCATTCTGCAAAGAGGAATAAAATGTTTCTTACATCCTTGTGGCTGCAGAAATTCTGGATGCAATTAGGTCCACCACATTGTTTGATAGAGAACATGACATCAACATTAACGTCCTTGATTCCCTCTTCAATCTGCTTGCTCTCCACAGAAATGAAAACAATGGCAGGCTCTGTGCTTAAATCAGAGATCTGGACTCCGCCTGCTCCATGATTTCCCTCAAGCTGCTGCATGCTTCTCTGTAGCTCACACAGTTCCTCTGAGTGAGTTCCCCTGCAGACAGAATACTGCTGTAAGTTGGAGGTTTTTTAAGGTTACAAGGGGAAAAACACCCAACAATAAGCTCCTTCTACGAGCATGCTTTGAGCCTCTAGTCAATCCATACAAAGCAGTCTTTGGAGGGACACTGAAACAAATCCACAATTGAGAGCTAAATTAGGAGGAAAACCACCAACATGTGTTTCTCTTATAGTGTGTGCATTTTGCAGAAACTGTAATCCAAAGAAACATCAAAATGAATCAAGTGTAGGTATCAACAGGTTAGCTTTAAGTTTCTTTTATATAAAAACAGAATAAAAATGAATTCTCAAAGTCTTGTTTTATGACAGATTAATGTGGTGTGATGAAGATGGAGTGGATCAGCTGCTGGAAAGCATCGCAACAGGGATGGTTAGGGTGGGGTTGCTTGGTGATGGCTGACAGGGGGTACAAGATGCAGCTTTACACCAAAAGAGCGTTGGGGTTGTAAGAGCAGCAAACTGCATCTGAGATTTAAAACGTATACATCTGTGAAATAAGAATTTGACCATTGTGCAGCTGGTAAAGTTTCCATTAAGGGCCGTGTAAAAAAACATCACAGTTTAATACAGTTACTGGCCGCTTTATTAGGTGCACCTTAGCAAAACCAGGTTGGACTCATTTTGTCTTTGGAAGTGCCGTAATTCTTCACATCGTGGATTCTACAATGGTTTGGAAACGTTCCTCAGAAGTTCTGGTCCATGTTGACACGACAGCATCACAGTTATGAGAATATTCTCTGAACTGGACCAAGACCTGATGACTGTGGAGGTTTGCTGGGGTTCAGTGAACTTCTTGAAGAAACCAGTTAGAGATGATCTGACCTTTGTGATATTGTAGCCGCAAAAGGGTCCCCTGTGGTCATAAAGGGATGGACACGGTCAGCAACACTACTCAGGTGTTTAAACCAGGCTCAGAATAAAGGAGTCTGAAGTTGGACAAGAACATCTCCCCGCTACCATCATACCACCAGCAGCCTGAAGCATTTGACACAAGGCTTGATGGATCCATGATTTCAGGTTGGTATCACCAGATTCTGACTCGACCATCTGAATGTTGCAGCTGAAATCCACTCATCCGACCAGGAAAGGTTTTCCAGTCTCTTCTGGTGATCGTGTGTAAATTGAAGCCTCAGTTTCCTGTTAGCTTAGGAGGGACCCCCGATGTGGGCTTGTGCTACTGCAGTCCATCTGCTTCATACTTCGATATGTTGAAGTTCAATAATGCTGTTCTGTAGACCCCGTTAGGGACCAGTGGTTCCTAATGTTATATAATCTCAAACCAGTCTGCCCATTCACATTTATTATTTCACATAACTGATCACTGTTCTTTTTCAGATTTCCTCTCTAAGCCATAGAAAATCCCCCTGAATGCACGTTCATTACTGACATTTATATGAAATTTGGGAGAATTTAAGAGAAATTCTAATCAGAAAACTTAAATTGATCATACATAAAAAGTTGTTCATATATCTGCCTACTGATGTGATCTGGAGTCAGCCATTAACAAACTCTACTAAATTACACTCATGTGCCAGTTAGAACTAACGACAGACATCTTCTGGAGCTGGTTCTGATCAAAAAATGAAGAGTTAAGTGCCTGTTCCAGGTTGTGGGGTTGAATCCCTATCAGCAGGTGTCCTTGGGCAAGACACACCTGCGCTGCCTGCTGGTAGTGGTCGGAGGAACCGGTGGTACCTGTGTTCAGCACCCTCGCTTCTGTCAGTGTGCCCCAGGGCGGGCACGCACACACACTATTTAAAACTACTTGTCGGTGGACAGAAAACTTGTTTGGAAAAGCGAACACCTGTGTGCAGTAACCCTCAGCTGCTACCAGAAGTCTATCAGCAGGGGAGCAAGCCTGAAAAAACAGACCGGCTGCTTTAGACCACACTAGAAGAGCTGGAACACCTTTATGTTGTTGTGGCTCACCACCCTTCACAGTTGTGCTCCACGGTTCGTACAGGAAGAACTGAAGTGTTCCAGCCTGAATTAGCTCGACACTGCTGCTGCTTAAGCAATGACCACAAACTATTGGAAAGTACATCACTCCAATTTATTGCAAACCGGAAGACAAGCTTGTGTCATTTCATGGAAAATCCCCAAACTCTCCTTTGGCAAAAATCAAGAACTTTTGTTATTCCTGCAAATCAGCATCAGAGGTACGAAGGAAGATGAGCTGTAGGGATTCCACACAGCTGGAAATGAGACCTCTAGGGGCCTTTAGCTGAGGTTTGCTGATGGGGAAGAGTAATGGCACTTGGATTCTCTAAGAATCTCCTGGTGGCTTCAGTTCTTTTAATACTGGGCTGGATCATTTCAGAACAAATTCAAATATCTAATCATCTTTTTAATCCATATTTGTGATTGGCAGAGGTTTTAAAATTAGCAAGTCAACATTCAGGTGTGTTAATACTGGAAGACAGGGTTCAGGCTACGATTTTTAAACCCCTAACCGTTACCAGGCCGTAGACGAGGGTTGGGACTAAACGTGTGTGTTTGCCAGAATGAATCAAGTCAAACCCAAATAAGCTACATCTACATGCTCCGACTCACCACACCTGCAAACCACAAACATACAGATTCACCTTTTCCTCACTTTGTTCCATTTATTACAATCAATTCAATGTTTGCCATCACTTTTTCAATGTGTCAGCCATTCCTCTTCTCCATTTAAAACAAGTCATGTAAGTGACTAGTCGCTAGAACCTGACAAGTCCTGAAGGCAGGGCAGGGCGGGGAGGGGGGTGTCTGAAATTAAAAGGGCAGGTCATTGGTAGAAGGAAGCAAAAAGGAAAACGATAAGGAGGTTGTACCTCGCCCACAGATGCGGGTTTTCAACCATAAACTGAGATTTTTTAAATGTATTTATTTATTTATTTTTTGAGTTTGTAAATTTCTTCTCTCCTCGTTCGTCGTTTACTCAACATCCTCGGCATCGTCTCCATCCATTAGCAAGGCGGCGTACTTGCTGGCTGAGCTGAACTTCTGTTGATAGTTAACAAAAACAAATCACTGGAAGAAGACTCCACAGACTAACAGGAAAAGAAGTTAATCTGAGCCGTTTCTCCACTACAAACTCATAAGGATGCATACTTACAGGGGTGGGGGTGTCTTCGTGTTTCTTTGGCTCTGGAGGTGGTCTGGAGTCTTTTTTGTTGTCCTTTCTATAAAGTAAAACAAACCAGTAAACCCCAAAAAACATAAAAACAAAACAAATACCTTTTTATTTCCATCATGTACAAGTTGGCTCAAACTGTTAAATTCAGAGACCAGAGGGATAAAATACAGCTACACAGTAAGAGCATTACAGACGTCCCCCAGACTGTCCTTATAGTCCGGTATGAATGCAAGACGACACGTTTTACGTGGCTGACCTGTCTGCCTCCTTTCTTCGGTCTTTGCTGGGGACTTCACCTCGGCCTCGCCCAGCTCCGGGCCCCCCTCGTCCCCGCGGAATCCCCCGGTCCCGACGCACACCGTCAGCTTTGTTCTCATCTGAAGGAAGGAGTCAGAGAGTTGAGTGAAGGGAGGCTGGAGGCCTTCAGACACCGGTGGGGGTTAAACTGTGTGGAGCTTGAGACACATTCAAGTTTCAAAATGTGTTGATAAAATTCTCAATTCTAATCAGCTCTATTGTAAAATACGTAGCTTATGGATTTACCAATTTTAAGTTTGAAATCAAGATATTAGCTAGACTCGCTCCATCCCAATGCATTCTGCGTAATTTGACTAAATTGTTCCCCATCAGATAACAGTAATTAGATAATGTGGTCAGCATGAGACCAAAGAAACCATATTTGAATTAAAACATATGTAATAGAATGCAGTCCCTAGTCCCGCTGAGCTCCTGTTTTTAGGAAAAACACTCATTTGGTGTGAAAACTTAATCTTTCCAGAATCCCTGAATATAATTTTTAATTAAACCCCCAAAACTGAGATCTTGCATTTGTGAATGCCGTTTAATGCACCACACACACACACACACACACACACACACACACACACACACACACACACACACACACACACACACACAGCTGGATTCAGAATCCTTGCAGAGCCCGTTTGTGTTCAGAGACACCAGTAAGTATTCAGAAACGTCGGTCAGAGTGCAATGAGCATTCACAAACACAAACAGTAGTTTTTAACAGCTTTTATTAATCAGAATAGCAATATTAGAACATCGGCTTGCATGAAAGATGGGACCAACAGTGATCTGTCTTTACAGAAAATCAGAATACACTAGATGGAAGTGTGAACATGTGTTGAAGAGATTTTAAGTGACGTGGTGGCAGATCCGTTGGCTCGACTGGTCTATTGTTTTTATTACATGGTCTACCCGAACACTCGACTGTCCTCTTGTGTGTCTTGTTGGCTTGTGTAACAATAACTGTGGCATTTTATGTTGCAAAGAATGAAGTCAGAACAGAAGCAAATGACATGCACGATGTAGGCTTCGACAGTCTTTACACAACAGGACACAAAAGCAGCAAAAATGTTTACGGGAAGGGTTTAAAAAAAATTTAATTTCAGAGTCGGGAATGGATTTTACATTTCAAAAATTAAAAAGATCCCACTCTTCTCGAGTGTGATTAGAGCAACAATGCTTTCCTAAGAATAAAATGTTTTTTAAGTCCATAATTGTTTTTTTTTTGAATAAAACTGTTGATGTGACGACAGAATACAGTCCTAACACATGAATGAATGTGTTGTAATGTTCTGTTTTTCTTGCAGTCCACAGTAAGGTTGGTGTTCAGCGCTTACTGACAGGACTTACCCTTTCCAGATCCTCTTTCATCTGCAGAACTCGAGGAACTAAAAGACAAAAGTACAAAAACAAATGAAAACGTGCATTTTATAAAAACAGACTCTTTTCTGAGCATCGCATTCATAACGCTCAGCGACCATCCGCTCCATTCTCACCTAAACTTGGGGGGGGTCGAACCCCCTGGTGAGACTGGAGAGGCTGGCTGTCGCGGGTCGCCATCAACGGAGCCTGTGCTCACCGCACTTCTCTTGGCCCACACGTTCTCCTTAGGAGGAGGAGCAGGCATCACTTTCAGAGGCTCCTTTGAGGAGCTGGTGGAGGGGGGCAGCGGTGAGGAACCAGGAGAGGAACTCTCTTCTCTCCCAGAGAAAACTTCATTGTCCCCAGGGCGCTCGCTGTCTCGACACCTTGATCCTGGTGGATGAGACGGTTTGGATTCAGAAGAGGAAACCTCTAAAGTTAAGCTACAAGAGCTCTTTAATCAGCATTTAAAAGTGTGGTTCACTAATGTAGTCATTAGCAGTGGTCTGTAGTAGGACGCCTTAGTCATACTCAGGAGGTGGGGTGGTGGTGGGGGGTATACACCGGTACACTAGGCTTGGGCGATATTACAGCAATAACGTATACAGCCGGTGTTTAAAAATACCAGTTCCATTACCATCATGACAAAGCAGTCCAGATAGGAGACACGATGAAAAAGACAGATAAATAAGTCCTTTAATGTTTAAAGAGGATGCAGGGTTAAATTTTCAGTTTTTAGTTTCAAACATTTTGTTCAACTTTTGGAGACATTCCAGAAAGTTTATGAACATGTCATCCCGTCACAGCACCGAAGAGACACACCGAGCAAGAAAAAATGGCAGGTTGCACACCAACCGACTTGGTGTAAAAAAAAAAAACTTCTGCTGTTTGTGAGCATTTCAAAGCAAACAAACACTGATGAGATCATTTGTGCAAACAAAAGATGATTGCGAAAGGCGCATGCAACGTCTGCACAGGAGGGAGCCGGAGTTTAAAAAAGCAGCCGCCTGTTTGAATCCTGTTATTAAAAAAGGTGACAATTCACTTTTCTGGTGGAAATATGCTGCCAGTCTTTCCCAGATGTCACGGCTAGACCCAAAGCACCCGTGTGTCTGCGCTACACACTCATCTAAGTGGGTTTTTAGAACAAAGAAGTCGGTCCACAACATCCTACGTTGAAGCTAGAAAAGGTAAACATGCTGGTTTTTTAGGCGTAAAATTATAAGATGATTATATTAAGATGAAAATGTGACCCAACGTAATACATGTGACAGCCCCATCTAGTGGACAACTTTTGTTTCTGCGCATACCTTTAGTTATCGTCCATTTATCGTTATCGAGGTGAAACCTTGAATATATCGTGATATTGATTTTAGGCCACATCACCCAGCCCAGGGGTCGGCAACCCGCGGCTCTGGAGCCGCATGCGGCTCTTCCATCCATCTGATGCGGCTCTCTGTGCTTGTAAAATAATGAATGGATATTTAAATGAAATGCTTTATATTTTACTGAATTAATTTTACATCTGTGTGCCAATTCTAAA